TATGTTCAAACAGGTGACCTCACAACAAGATTATAAAACAACTATCTAACTAGTAAAATCTGTAAATTCCTATTAACTAATTTCTGTTAAATACAATATATATACTATTAATGAAAAATATTTATATACATTAACCTTGCATTTTTTAGGTTCACCCAGCATTGCGCCGGAGGTTGTGTTATCAGAAAATTATATGACATATATTCGACCTGGTGGTGGTGGTGGTGGCGGCGGCTGTTTGGCCCTCTCACATCATGGCTGCTTCGTCCTCTGCTGTCTGTAGGGCTTGCCTTTGTGATATTTTGGTTGTTTGGAAAATGATAAGAAAGACTATTTGTTTACTAGAACCAAATCAGTTCATGTATTGTCTAATGTGCCTGAGACATGTAAGCAAAAGATTAAAGTAAGCAGAATACTTACTCAACCTTAATATTTCCAAGGAAAAAAAAAAAAAAAAACTAATCAAATTCAACCTTCATGATATTCATTCTTCTGTTTAAAGAGAAAAGATAAGTTTAATCTTGAAGAGATCACATAAGCATTAGTCTTTAAATTTCATTCAAACTCGGTTACTGTTTTTTAAGTTAAATTTCATTCAAGCATTAGTCTTTGTAGGGCTTATGGTTGCCTTATTTTGTTGGGCCTATTTTGTTGCCTGAAGTTGGGCTGGTCACTGCTGTTTTGGGCCACACTGTAAATCCTATACATATATATAATTGCTTCACTGTTTGAAAAAAAATAATAATAATAAATTAATTAATTAATTAAGGGACAGGAATAGAGACTAACTCTGCCCATGAATAACACATGAAATATATCCATATTTTGATCCTTCTTAATAATTTGTGATAAATTATTTTGATTAATCATGTGTGTGTGTGTCCCGGTGAGTCCACCCGGGTAGGCAGGGTGGCCCAACCGCAACGAGGGCGTTGCAAGTTTGGGTGGGGGAGAATGTAACAAGGGTCATTTTGTCCCACATCGGAATCGGATGGGAAAGAGATTGGGTATAAATGGGTGGGTATGCAGCCTTACCTAACAGTTCGAACTTTTGGGTAAATGGGCAAGCGCCCACCCGTTATAGCTAGTTTGTAAATATTTTATTTGTAAATATCATGATTTATATTAGTAATGAATGAATTATCAAATCTATCCATGGTAACGTTATAAAAAAATGTATGTGCCGATGAAGCTAGAGAGAGATAAAGAGAGAGGAGGGGAAAAAAGACCCAGAAGATGAATGGATTACAGGCATGCACGTGGTTTCGGTTTTGCCAGCCAGACACCACTTAGGATTCTGCCTAACAAGCCTGCCAAATCCATCGGCATAAATATCATTTTTCATATCAATATTGCATACCAGCATATTTCCTTTCTATTTCCTATTTCTCATTTCATTAATAATCAATCATATACTATTAAGTAGGTTTGTAAAAATTACATGGGATTCAAACATGACACTGTTGATTGCTACTGGGGATATATTTTTATACAAAATGTATAAAACAACCTCAAGAACTAAAAAAATAATAATAATCCAAAATTTTGTTGGAGATGTTATTAACAGCCGGAGATAAAAAAATAAATTAATTAATTAACACAGAAAAAAATTAACACATCATCCTTTGCAAAGAACAAACTGCTAGAGATGCTCCGATTATAAATTGTTAGCATGCACCCAAGCATGTCATCAATATCTCTTATGTATATGTTTCACTACAGCACTGTTTTGTTCCTGACCATGCAATTTAAATTACTTACTTCTATTTAAACTACTTACCTCTTCTTAAATGCACTACTAAGTATGTTGCTCTTCTCTATGAGAAGACCTGAAAATATTACAAGTCACATTATACAATATTGGATGTTTTTCACTATTATTAATTTCCTTTTCCCCTCTAAATAATATTTGGCCTCTGAAAATTTTTTTTTATTATATTCTTATAATTTGTTTATTTTCAATAATATACCCATAAAATATTACTTTTGCCCCACTAAAATTCTTAAAAAAATACATTATTGCCCCCCAATTTTTTTTTGTCCCCCTTACCTTACATCCTTGTTCCGTCCCCTTGCCTAAATGATACCCTACCTAAATAGGCAAACATTCACCCGTTACAGTTGGTATCAGAGCCAGATCTAATTCTTGATTGGGTATTACGCCAATGGCACGACCCAGAGGGAATCTGAATTTGCAACCTGGGTAGACAAGGTGGCCCGAGCCTCAATGAGGGCTTTGCGAGTTTGGGTGAGGGAAAATGTAACAGGGATCATTTGTCCCACATCAGATCTGGATGAAAAATTGATTGTGTATAAATGGGTGGTTATGCAGCATTACTTAACAGTTTGAACTTTTAGATACACTAATCGAAAAGAATATTAATAAATAAAATAAAATAATTTCTATTTTCAAAAAATTAAAAACAATTTTTTATTCTCAGACAATTGTGTTTTCTGTTTTTAAAGAACGGTCTTTTTTCTCTTAAAACTGTTTTTTATTCTTTGAATTCTTGAGAACTAATTTCAGAGTCATAAATCAAGCAAATTCCTATTTTCAAATAACTGTCTTTTATTATTCTCTAAAAACTATTTTTTATTTTCTAAATTTTTTATAACTATTTTTACAATTACAAACCAGCCCCAACTTTTGCATTTGTTTAACTGAAGGTGTGAAATTTGTGTGAAATTTTGAAAAACTTGTCACGTCACGAAGTACCATCATAAATAGTTTTTGGCGTCTCTCTCTCTCTCCACCCAGTTGTGTGTGAGATAGAGAGACCCATTACGTGGACAAGTGCCAAACAATCCGAGATAGAGAGAGCCACTATGTGACAAAGTGGCAGAAGTACCAACTTTTGGCTTTAGTTAGACCTTGAGACCCACATGTGGGTTCGGCAAGAGAGCACCAAAAATGTGCATGTGACAATGAAAAACTCATGCTTAAAATTTAAGCCAACAATGACGATACATGCATCTATGTTTAATTTTTAAAGAGCTTATAATTTTAATATTTAAATTTTTTTAAGCTTTGTCTAGCATGTGACATTTTTATAATTTCAAATTCTTTATAAGAGTTGTGAACTCTTTATATTTAATTATTTATTTAATAAATCTATTACTCAAACATGTATCACCCTGCTGCCCATCACGTAATTTTCTCACAATCCAAACAACATCCAAAATTATCAACTCATTCTGCATCATATAATTATCATCCCTTTGATATCATTCTAGTGACCAAATGATTGGTGTATACATTTATAAATACATGTATGTATCATCAGCGTGCCCTTGTAATAATTCAAGTTCACGTTCTTGTCCCTATCATCTTGATGTCAATGCCCTCATCATTGTCATTTTCAATATCTTATGCATTATTACTCCAATGTCCATTTTTGAAGTGGGACGTGCAATACCAAAGATAATCTATTTAAGTCTAATGATTGTATTAGCGTTGCAATCTAAATAACCAAAAGATATGATTAGAAAATTATTTTTATATTTTGGTATTTTGCAAAGGACTAAATCAAAGTTGAGATCATAATTTACTGAAAATTAAGGAGTAAGTTATTTTAGTTAAATTATAATTTTTGTTTTTCTTCTTTGTAACAACCAAACGTTAAAAAATAAAAAAAATATTTTTAAGAAAATATTTACATCCAAACAAAGGGAGGCTAAGTGAAAAAAAAAAAAAAAAAAAAAAAAAAAAAAAAAAAAAGTAGAGTTAGATTATAGCAAAGAAAACATAAGATTGGTATTATAAGAGTGTGGTGGTAATATCCCAACCCATCCATGAAAAGTGAGGGAACCTTCATATATAACAACAAAACAATCCTAGTCATAAAAATGTTTTCCAGGATTCTTACCTATTGCTTTTCGTACAGATGATATATTCATATTCTCAAAGAGTCGAAAATAACCAAAGATTTGGTTGGGTGGCCTCAAAGGAAGTTAAAAAGAATCATTCATTTGAGTTGATTCCTATATATGCTACATAGAATTTAATACCAGAGTTCCATCAACATAGTAGATTCTCTCCCAATTTGACACTTTCGTCATTGCTTTCCTTTTTTCTCACTTTCATCTAACAATGACAACACCAATAAAATAAATGTCTTCCACTTCACTTGGAGGCTTCCATTTGAAGAAACTTTCACACACACATAAACACACACACGGTTTTGACTACCATTCAAGAAAGTGACAATTAATAGAATTTGATTCCCTCCCAAATTTGCCATCTTCACAAACCCAACAAAAATACACCATTTATGTGTAACAATTGTGTGTCATTCATCACTTTGTAACAAAAACTAACAATACCCTTCATAGAATGTGAAGGGTAGGTACTGTAGCCCTCTACATTTGAGTATCTCAACTAAAATAGGTAAATATTTGCCCAACAAATTGGAAGTTCTCTGCAATGAGAGACTAACGAACAACTAAACAAGATAAACAAGTATCAAAAGTGCCCTCTCGTGACTAGAGTCATGACTTCTGCATTGAGTAGTTAATGAAGGAAAATTCACTCATACTTGAGTCATGAGAATAGTTAACAAGGAAAACTCATACTCTAGCCTTACACTGAAGCGAAAAGCTAAACAAGATATAAAAAAATTTAAAAAAAATGTTAAAAGAGAGAATATTTTTCCATGACAATATTAACCCACCATAAGGAAATAGCATGTTCTTACCATGTGTTCTGCCTTTGCGAGATCTTTTTAACCTTTAATTTGAAACATAGACGAACTAGTTCCAGGTGGATTGCTGAATTAATTCAATTCTACCTGCTAAGCAGCTGCTTGGTAGAAGATAAAATAACGTGAAATGCAAATAGATTAAAAATATTAAGGTTTTGTTTGGTAGAAGATAAAATAACGCGTAAGGTTCTAACAGAAAGATTTTTTTTTTTTTTTTTTTTTTTTTTTTTTTTTTTTTTTTTTTTTTTTTTATAGTACCAATTAAATGTTATAGGAAATTAACAGTTACCAACATCAGTATGTGCAAATAGTAAACTCAGAAACTTTGCAGGAAATAACACTATATTGGTACCAAAGGGAATCAAATCTAGTAAGGGGTTTTATGTAATTCATGCTAACATACCCCATAAAAAATGAAACAAGTGTCTCAGACACAGAGTACCACGAAACAGATGTAGCTCATAGAAAAACACACACACACACATTTATCTTTGTGGAGGAAGCTATGTAAATTAATTCTAAATTCTAATTGCATACTTGATAAAAGGAAACAATTTTAGTACCCAGAGTTAAAATTCACACACAAACTATCTCCTAGGCAGAACCAAATTATGAAGATCCACTCCACAACTGGAAGATTGTACGGAATGCAACTGCTCCCCTGCAAATAAACAGAGAGTAAAACCATTATTCAAAAGCATTACACACACACACACACACATATATATATATATCTTTTTACGTTGATTTTTCAATTTAAAAAAAAAAAATCATATGAAGAACCAAATAAATAAAAAAAACTTATTTACGAACAAAATAATATATATCAAGACAAATACAAAAAAAAAGAAAAAAGAAGAGACAATTATTAAGCACAGAAACACCTATATACATTTGTTTATGTGTGTGTGTGTATATATAGAGAGAGAGAGAGGATGAGCACTGGATGCAGAGGTTTATCGACCGATTCCTGTCCTGTTTTTCGGCTATACAACCAGTTCAGGGAACAGATCGATGAACCGCTGCGTCCAGTGGCCTCAACCAACCTAATCTTACCCTAAAAAATAACTTATTAATCCCAATAAAAAAGTAAACGAAGTTGATTATTATAATCAAATAACTAAAATTCCAAAAATAATAATTAATAAATAAGTCACTGATCAAACCATTGGCCATTAAAATCACAGATCTGACTTGAACAGATCGCAAAAAATGAAAGAATCAACGAAAAAAAGCCAAAGAAATCAACATATTCACATAAATACAGAACTGAAACACCGATACATGTATTTATATTTGTATTTATCATTTTACTGGAAATATGGCTGATCAGTGACTTTGAGATGAGGCAAGCACATCTCGGAGATAAATATAAAGAGTTTAGAGAGAGAAGACGATGAAACGGGAATATCAAGCGTCGCCATTGCCGTACGACTCTCTCCCTCCCCCTCTCCCCCTCTCTCCCTCCCCCTCTCTCCTCTCTCTTTGTGCTTCACTTAAACTGAGTCAAATATACAGAGAATTGAGGAAATATCAAATTTACCATTTTGGGTCTTAATAATTGATTGTAAGTTGGATCCAATTGACGATAAGGATCTAAACATGTCAGATATTTTTGTGAAGAAAAATGATAGGTCTTCCGTAAATTATCGACTTATTTTACGAATATAATGTGGTTGAATCTTATTGGAATTCTTAAAAAAAAATTCGTAAATATCTCTTTCTCTACTTATTTTTGAAGGAATAATCAGTAATTGAAGTCGGAAGATCTATCACTTCTCTTTTGAGAATGGAGCTCTTTTGAAAATGGACTTATATAAACTCGTCTGTTTCAAAATAGTTGTCTATGTGTTTTATTATTATTATTATTTTATTTATTTGTCTCAAAATAATGGTTCATTTTTTTAAAAAAAATAATATATTTCATATTTTTTAATGTATTCTTTAAGTGTAAAATTTCAAACTTAAATATTAAAAAATTAAAAGACCAAGTTAGTAATTTTTTAGATAGATAATGTCCCACATGTCTCATTAAAAATTAATACTTCCCATAACTTACCTTTAAAAATTACTACTCCACATAAGCAACATTTAAATTAGAACGTTTATTTAAATTAGAACGTTTTAACTATATAAAAAAAAAAACATTTAAATTAGAACGGAAGGAGTATAATATATATATATACATACATATATATACTTTTTTGTTTATGATATTTATCGTATATTTTGATTCAAGTGTTAAATACTTGTCAGATATTTTAAGACCCAAATTTTAACCTTACACATAAAAATATATAGAAATAAAGAAGACACATTTAATAGAATGATACTTAGGTCCCCACTAATAAGGATCTACTCCATCATCACTAGTGATGTGGACTAATAATAAATTACCATCTATGTGATTTGGTTATGATTTGATAAGTGTGTATTTACCCATCATAATAAATTACCATCTATGTAATGACATGTCTATTTATTATTGGCCGACATCACTAGTGAGGATAATGTGATAATGTGAATTCTCACTAGTGAGGGCCTAAGTATTGCTTTATTTAATAAGTTTTTAACATTAAAATATATTTGTACAAATGTAATAGATTAATATCATGATATGATTGCTGAGCAATTTTTTTTTTTTAAAAAAAGGAAGTTTTAAGATCCACAATAAGAGTACCTCATAACCAATTTGGTCCAAAATTTATTCACCTAATATAACTCTCAACTCTTTGATTTGTTAGTCATGATTTTATAAATAAATAAAAAAAAAAGCCATTATATATTATTTTCAATTTATACACATATATATATATTTTAATTTTTGTATATATTAATTTTTATTTAATATATATAAAAATTAATAGTCTACTAAGAAGTGAAGTACCAAAAACAAACAAGTTTTTTAGTATGTATTTAGTTAAAATCAAAATTTTCTAAAAAGTCATAGAAAATCTTATTTTTTATTGCTTATTTGAATTTGTCCTTTTTTATTAGAATTAAGCGACTTAACAAGTTTAAATAGGTATTTACCCAAAAAAGAAAAAAAAAACAAGTTTAAATAGGTTTGTTTCAAACCAATATTATTTTTTGTTCTTTTTAGAAGAAATAAAAATAAATGACAAAAAAAATTAAAATTAAAAGTGATTATAAAATATTATTTTGCTTATATATTTATCAATAATAGTATGAAATTTCTTAAAGTATTGTATAATTAACCAAATGTATGTACCCGACAATTACAAAAAATATTATTTTTCTTTATATTGTAAAACCAAGCAACCCAGGAAGAAAAAAAAAAAAAAAAAAACCAAGCCCCGGTGCATTCGATTGGGTCAAAAAGGTAATTGCAAAAAGAGTTGGGTAACGGTCCTAACGGAGGACGGTTTTGGGCCATGCTCCCTTTCTGGACCTAGTAATGTTGTAAAACGTGTTCCATGATTCCATCTTACGTTTTAAAGAATCCTTAATCATGTGGACCAGGGATTAGATGTATTGGATCCAAACTGTTGACTAGTCTAATTGGAAGAAGCCGACGTGACTCTAATGTTGTGTTTAGTGTGCAAAAATAGAATGAAATGAAATAATGAAATGCAATGGCCATTTTCGTTTTATTATTTGGTTGTAACTTGTAAATATAAAATGTATAGGAATAGAATGTTAATAATTATTATCATTCTAATGTTTGATTGGACCAATTTTAAATTTAGAATAGAATAAATTTCAAATTAAGTTATATTGTTTGGTTTTAACTTGTAAATATGAAATGTATAGGAATAGAATAATAATATCATTCAGTGTTCGGTTGGACCAATTTTGAATTTAGAATGTAATAAATTTCAAATTTATTTTTTTAAAATAAATTGTGATAGTGGTGGTGGTGGAGGTGGAAAGCGGTAGTGGTGTTGGAAGGCAACGGCGGCAATGGCGGAAGGCGACGGCGGCGGAAGTGGTGGAAAGCGGTAGCAGTAGTGTGATGGTGATGGTGGAAGGATATAGTGGTGTCGGTGGTGGAAGTCGATGTAGGTGACTATGGTGGTGGCGGAAAGCAGTGGAGGTGGCGATGGTTGAAGTAAATGGAGGTGGTTGTGGTGGTGGTGAAAGGCAATGAAGGTGGCAGTGGTGGAAGGTCGTGAAAGGCAGTGACGACAATGATTGTGGTGGTGGTGGAAGGAGATGGCAGCGGTGGTGGAAGGCGGCGGCGGCGGTGGCGGCAATAGTGGTGGAAGGCGGTGACTATGAAAAAAAATGGTGGCGGTGGTAAAAGGTAGTGAAAGGTGATGGCAATGGTGGTGGTGGTGGTGGTGGTGGTGGAAGATGGTGGCGGTGGAAGGCAATAGTGGTGGTGAAAGGTGGTGGTAGTGGTGAAAGGAAGTAGTGGAAGGTGGTGGTAAAAGTCGGTGGCGGTGGTGGTGCTGGAAGGCAGTGGTAATAGTGGTTGTGGTGGAAGATGGTGATGGTTTTTGGACTTAAAATATGAAGGTTTTTTGAGAAATTGATTTAAAAAAAATAAAAAATAAAAAAAATTTAGAAATGGAATGACCATTTCATAAGTTTAGTTGTGAAATGAATTTTCATTATAATAGAAAGGTCATTCTTACTTTAAATTATATCATAAACAAATGAATAAATGGAATTGACGGTTTTTTTTTTTTTTTTTTTTTTCTGAAATTTTTGTTAGACAAATAAATTAAAAAATGAGGGGTCTTTTTTAATTTTGACCTTTTGTGAATTTTTATTTTTATTTTTCAATTCCAACGGAGGCAATTCCATTAATGAACGATGTGTCACTTCATCTTATGTTGTCTGGTAGAGCAACAAACAAAGTATGTAATTAAATTTTGACATCATTTACATGAAATGATTAATGACCCAACCTAGTGTTAAGCAATATCAAATTTGTATACTTTTGTTTCAGTGAAGTTTTAAACAATTATCCAGATTTGGGAATTGATTATGTTTATTTTTTTATTTTTTGACGTTTCAAATGAAGACTCCGTTTATTTAAATGTAAAATATTTTTTATGTAGAATATATATATTTTTTTTCGGTGTTTTGAAAATATTTTAAGTGTCTGGTTTCTAAAAGTATTTTTAAATTAAAATTAAAATTGTTATTTGAGTAATTAATTATTCAAATTTTCTCTTATCATCAATTCGTCTAATTATTTTTCTACTAACAATAATAATTATTTGACAAAAAATATAAAAAAAGTAATCAATTAATTTTTTAAAAAATGATAAGGAAACGAAACAAGTCTCCGTCATCGAGTTCAACAAGTGAATTTTTTATTTTTTTAAAATTAATTAATTGAGTGGAACATTGGGCAATGGGGAGGAACAGCAAAGCAAGGTTCTTAAGTTGACTCCCTTTTTTGGCGTTTGTGTTTTTTTAGCCAAGAAAATGATGACTCATTAATTATGAAAAATGAAGAAAGTACGTAGAGGATAGGTTTTTGTGGACTTCATTTTCTAATACGTACGGTTGTGTGACACATGACAACTGGCAAATCATGAGAAGATAAAACCACCATGTGAATCCATTGTTAGGTAAAAATAGTTGTATTGATTAGCTGCCAAATATGGGGAAGCCAGAAAAAAATTCAGTTGACTTTTCAAGATGTTTGGATCTATCTATTTTTTATTAAAAATTAATCCTGGTGGATATATATGCAATCATACTTGTCACAAATCATATGCATATAAATTTAAGATAAATTGTGCTTAGTTTTTTTTATATTTTGAATCTAGTCATTTATGTCATTTTTGAGTATTCATAGTAATTTTGTCTTATTATATTTGACACATAAATAGTCACATATACTCGGTGAAGTAGTAAGTTTTTAATTGTTAGGTAAATATCAAGACTATTATTTTTATTTTCTTAGATCATTTTTAACATTTTTACCAATTTTGAATTTAAGATCACACGAAAATCTTTCATTTTAAAATTAAACTAGTTTCTAATAGTGATTAAGAACAAGTTGTTTGTTTTATACTTTTCGCTATCTTTCCCTGTTTGGAAAGTTGAAAGTCTCATGTTTTTTTATTTTTTATTTTTAAATAAAAAATAATTAAGGAGAATAAATATTTGCTATTTAAATGGTAAAATTCAATATCCAAATTAATGAATTAAACCTAAAAAGAACTCCATGAAGTAGCACAAAAGCGGTTAGGGGACAACACGCTCTATTATTTAAAATAAATAAAATAAAAAATTATAGGCATGTCTGACCTACTAAAAAAAGAATTTTTTACACTATATGATATGATTTTATTTAAAAATGTCAGTTTACCACAGGGCTTGCATGCTAAATGGAAGTTTCCTAGAACTCACCAACCAATATATATATATATTGGATTTATGGAATCTTATAATTGCCCCCATCCGGGCAAAAGCAAAATTAAATCCACCGACGCGCTTTGTGTGACAAAATATTTTCAATTTACCAAACACAATTAAACAAATACAAATTGGGGTAGTGCTACATGTCACGAAAAAAATATTCATGATATAATTTTAAACTATATATCTATGACAAATATGTATTTTTAGTCTTTTTATTACCCTTGTTTTTGTTTTTTTCTTTCATATTCATGGATAAGTATACGAAGTTCTCGATACTTTATTTACAATTTTAGATTGATTAACAAAGTACACACTCATCACGTAAACATGTAACAGACTCGGTAAAAAAAAAATAATATCAAAACTAGTTTAGAGTTTATTATGAATTTGTTTTGAATATTAAATTCATCCAACCTTTCAATTAGATTTCATACAAATTGTAACGCCAATATCATTCATGTGTAAAAATAAAAGAGTAATCTAAATTGAGAATACTTGAATTCTGAATAAGTTTAATTCATAACTTTTATTTTCTTTCAAAAAAATCAATCTTATACATTAAAACTGTCTAAAGACTTAAAATATGTATTTTCATTCGAAAATTCTAGATACACAATTATCTTTAGATTGAGCTATGGACCAAAGAAAAGGATTAGTTTTTTGGGGAGACTTTTTTTTTGTTCCATCTCTATCTCTCATTAATTCTTCCCAAAAATAAATAATCATTTATTTATTATTTGACTAATTTTTTCCAAAACTAAAAATCCACGTAAATTGTAATAAAATCATCATCGTGATCTTTAGCATTTTCCCACAAATTATACCACCTCGCACTTATAACAAACCAAGACAGTCCAGTCCATACCCCCTTCCCAAATACATCAAAAACACCTCCCCTCCTCCACCTCCACCTCCACCTCCTCCACACCTTATCATCGTTCTACATCGTCATCATTTTCGGTCTTTATCATTTTTATTATAATTATCATATCTTTGTAAATATGTCGGTGCTTCACAAAGATCGACTCAACCAACTAAAGGACATATTCTCACGCTTCGACATGGACTCCGATGGCAGTCTGACCCACCTGGAGCTGGCGGCGCTCCTCCGGGCACTAGGAATCAGCCCCTCCGGCGACCAAATCCATGTTTTGCTAGCCAACATGGACGCAAACGGCAATGGGGTTGTGGAATTTGATGAACTGGCCAGTGCCATAATGCCTGACCTTAACCAAGACATATTGGTTGATCAAGAACAGCTTTTGGAGGTCTTCCGATCCTTTGACCGCGACGGCAACGGCTACATCACGTTGGCCGAGCTCGCCGGATCAATGGCCAAGATGGGTCAGCCGTTAACGTATCGCGAACTCACCGAGATGATCAGAGAAGCGGATACGGATGGTGATGGGGTCATTAGTTTCCATGAATTTGCTTCCATCATGGCCAGATCGGCCTCCGACTTTCTCGGCCTCTCGGTATGGAAAAAGAGAGATGATACCATTTGAACTATTACATCAGTATCGTGGTAAAACGTAGTGTTGGGTGTAATGGTAACAGAATTGACAAGCGCCGCAGTGAACTTTTTAATCACTAGCCCACTGTTTTTAGTTTATTTGATTAACTTGTTTTCCAAGCCTTAATAAGGTTTTGTTTGCTTCTAGGCATTCAATTAATGTATATAAAATTGAAGGACTGTCACTTCCTCTCTGAATAGATTCTTGTTTTTGGTTTATTGATGATATTTAACCATCTTGTCTTCTATTTCTAATCTTGATTAGCTTCATGGGCGTTGTTTCTTTTGTGTTTTGTTAGAAACAATTTAATGTTCTTAAAGCTGTAGGAAAATTAAAAACATGTAACATTGGAGTGCTCTGTTTGGCTACTGATATGATGGAAGAGAATAAAAGAGATTTAAAATCAACTCAGCAAACAAATGAAGCATAAGGCTTTCAGCCTTTTTACAGATGTAAGGAGATATTGAATTATGTAAATCACATGCACTGCCAAAAAATGTATATATCATATATATACCCACACACACACACACACATATATATGCATGCCTTATTTTAAAACTGATTGACTTGGAAGTGTTGGTACATCCAAAGGTCTCTAAACCCAATGCCTTACAATGTCAGCTGATGCCTATTTTTTTTTTAAAACAGAATTGACTTGGAAGTGTTGGTACATCCAAAGTGCCCTTCACCCAACTCCTTACAATGTCAACTGAAACTTCGTGTTTCCATAATATATAGTGTGTGTGTCTCTCTATATATATATAGAAGAAAATAAACAGCTAATAAATAGCATAAAAATATCTTAACTATGTGCTTGAGAGTATCAATATATATTAAATTTTACATTGCAGAAGCAAAACATAAGCAGAGCTTCTGAGCCTATCTTTGTAAAACAAAGAAGGTTTGGGATGATACAACAATTGTGAGAGCACTAATTCACCAATACATCAAAAAAAAATATACTGGTTTTTGAGCTTTTACTTAACATTTCTAACCATTGAATTGAATTGGAGGGTGTGAATACACTAATTAACCTATAACAGTACTGGTCTCCAAGATGGACCTCTCTTGCTTACCCAGCCAAAAGGCCAATTTCTCGCATTTGACAGAACTACCTATATGTATGTAATAGAAGATACTTGTCTCTGCAATTGCAACAAATCTTTAGCTATCTTCTAATATAAGTCATGGCAAAAGTTTCTCTTCCAAGGGACTGGATTTTGCTTCAAACCGTGCTGTAAAGCCTACTGTCGTGGGCGATATTGATCTTTGTCGCACCATGTGGCAATACTCGGGATCATCAGATTGCCCCTCGAATCTTATCCACTGTATCATGTTGTGATACATTGGGAAAAACTGGATTTGAATGGCTGAGTAAGCAAAATATGGGAGAAGACTCGAGACCAGCACCAAGAGTGTCACGAACCAAAAGGTCACGGATGGTGCACAGGCTTCTGTGAAGACCATATAGGCGGTTGTTGATATGTCAGGGTCCATAGCTCCATATGCCAAGAGGAACAGATACCAAAGTGCAATCCCACCCCAAATGAAGAGATGTTGTATGTAAGTAAAGTAATTGATTGAGAGTGCCATTTGAGCATTCACAACCCACACTACACATGTATACATGGTCGTGCCAAGGATTTCCAGGCCAACAACTTCCCCACCTTTACGGAATGCTTGATGCTCCATGGCATATATGCAGAAGAAGAACACACAGGTAGCAGCATATACACCATTAAACGACCAGACGAGGATACGTAACCAACTAAATAGGGCATTTTGTACACCTTCTTGGTATAATATAGGGAACTGTAACACACAATGCCATCTACTGTTAGGATTTCAGTTTTTAACAAATTCATCATGAATGACATGAGAAATGAATAAGTTTTTTAAATTTGGAACCTACCTTGAGACACGATTGTGATGTTACGTCCTGATCAAACACTCCAAGGGCAATCACAGGAAGTGATGTGAAGAAAACATTATAAAAGGACAGATACCAATCATTGTATGAGAGCTGGCCAGAGAATGATGCATATGCCTCGAAGAAAAAAATAGTGAAACCAAATGCAATGTTCTTGTAGAAGAAATAGCATATCTGCAAAATAGTAAACTAATACATCAACTCACTATTTTTGTTTGGGCTTGTGATGATATTCAACAGTTGTGTTGGTAAATTGCAGAAGCATCCTGATGATATTATTCAACATATAATTTCTTTTTCCTGGGAAGTATTCAATATTAAATTTCAATTTCAAGTGAAATATCATTTTTTTGTCAGTCCCAAACCAAAATTGTCGATCACTTGTCTCCAAACAACAAAAAATGTCACATCATTTCGATTCAAACCAGTTTCGAAAATATTGAAACTAAATTGTAACGAGTCTCACTCGGAGAGAGAGAAAGAGAGATTGTTATATGACATCTAAATTTATGCCCAATACAGGTTAATTCAATTAAGAGATGTTTCTTTTTATCTAAAGACTTGAGTTACCAAATTAAAACTTTACCATTAATGAGATCCTTCTGTAGCACCAATGTCCATGCACAAGTAGCAAGCGCTCCAGAAAACAGAATTGTGCAATCGCAAAATCACTTGACATAACCGCCTGAAATTGTCATAATTGTTATGACATATTTGAAATTAGGTTGCACAATAGTAGAGGAAAGATGTGGAGTCAATCATGATAACATAAAGCAGACATTAAGATTTACTTGGTTCAGATTCAATCCCATGTAAAAATGCAAAGGCAATGAAATTTTTTTTACCATGGAGATGAAGAGAATACAAAATGGTCGCTGCCTAATTGCACGAACTATAACCCTCTTTACATCAATGAGTTCTCTCATTCGAAACCCCAAAGCTGACTCCATACAAAAGGAAATCTCATAAAATACTTACCAAAAGAAAACCAAACAAACCAAGCCCTCGTGGACTCACAATTCAAGACAACATAAAATAGTCATGGATTAAGAGACTAAAAATAACAACATGAAACAGATCATATGATAGGATATGCAGGTGCAATAATCAACATTTGAATTTTCTGCTAAGCATTTACCTGCATTCCTTCAAACCCACTGATACCAACTCCAATATCCGCTTCTTGAAGCATTCCAACATCATTTGCCCCATCTCCAACTGCTAATATCGTCTTACCAGTTCTAACTTTAACCAGTCTAGTAACCTGCAATGTTTTTGCTGCTTTTTAGTTATTCCCTGAATCACATACCCAAATGATATTCGGAAATGATTAGAAAATTTGAACAATAAACATAAAATGTAACTCACAAGTGCTTTCTGTTTAGGTGATGAACGACAGCAAATGACAGATGCACAGCCAAGTGCAAGTTCCATGAACATGTCCTTTATATCATCCTCGAGAGCATAAGTGAGACACTTCCCATCGATGATCAAAGCGAATGCCTCAGAGCTTTCTATTGATGCAGTAAGCAGTTCCTTGCCCTCACTTATCTGATGGAGGATGTTTGCTTTTGATGCCTAAACAATCAATCAAATTTCTTAAAATCACAAATAACGCCAAAAACTAGTATATTGGTCAAGCTACTACAACATATCACACTGATAGCACTATCTAAAGACCCATTATAGCTTTTTCGGTTGTTTGAAAGATGTGCTAGAAACCATTTCAATGATTTCAGAAAACCTTTCCTTCCTATAATCATATATGAAGTAAAACTGATACTTCATGCACATATTCTGATTTTATAGGGTTTTGAGTATGCAGAAGTGTTTTTTTTTTTTTTTTTGGTATGCATTTTAGTATCAAATTTTCTTTTAAGTTAGAATTGAACTTTGTCACAATATTACCACTTTTGAAGGGGAAATATGGAACGCAGAACAGGGGCGGAAATCAAGAAGGACAAGAGAAAGTTAATAACGCATGAATAAAACATATACAATACCTACTGCTGCATTCAATTATTGAATAGTAGGAACAGAAAATTTGCAAAGCTTTAAGAATTACAATACATACATCAATCCTGATTTGTTCTGAGATTTCAAGTGCACATTTCTTTTACGTATGCTTTGTCAGCTAACAAATGGAGCACCAACGCAAAAAGAAATCTTACCTAAATATCTGTTATACATTGGGAAATCTGTTTACCTAAAAGTTCTGAAAATGTGATAAGAACTGCTCATTGGATATGAATTTTTCTCTGAAATTCCATAAAGGTGCTCCAACTTTTTGGGAGAAAGATTCCATAGGAAGTTGGTTCCCACCTAATAGATTCTGGTAACTATGTTATATAAACTCATCCAAAGCTCCATATTCATGTTATGAATATTCCAGAACAGAACAATATATTAGTATAGAAACCAAGCTTGTCTTAAATGAATTAGGCAGGCATTGAGTTGTTACAATTTTATAATATGCTTCTATGCAATAAAAACTCAATTCACCCTTGTCAATCGATTACCATGCCTGGAAAATTGAATGAATAAAAATGGGAAATGTACATGTTACACGCCATGTTTGGTGTGAGTGAATGGAATCAAATGAAGTGGGAATGGAATGCTTTTATTTCCATTCTTTAGTTTCGTAACTAACTTTAAAGTTGGAATGATGATTCTTGCCCATTCTCCAAGAATGGTGATTCCCACTAATTTATTCCACTTTCCAACTAAAGGAATGACCATTCAATTCCCACTTTAAAAATAATAATAATAAATAAATGAATAAAAAAAAATTTGATGAAACGTCGGCTACACACATATATATATATGTGTGTGTGTGTGTGTGTGTTTTACAAAAATAGGATTTTTTCTATGCAACCAAACATGGGAATGAGAATAGTCATTCCATTCCCATTCCCTTCTCTGATTCATTCAATTCCCACTTTATTTCATTCAACCACACCAAACTAGCCCTTACCTCACTAACAGCAGAATCATCCCCATATTTCTCCAGTGCTTTAAACTCTGGTGCCTCAGAGTTTATTATGATTTTCTTCATTCCCTGTCTTAGCAAACTACAGGAATAACTGCAAAATTTAACTTAAAAATATTAGGACAATAGACTTCAATGTCTAGTGATATGCAAAGTCATGTCCATCAACTATACCCAATATTAATTGCTGTCTCCATCTTATCTCCTGTCAAAACCCAAATTTTAATTCCAGCTTGCGCAAGCTTGTCAATGCATTCAGGAACCTGATTTATTGGGGAAAAAAAAGGCATTCAGGAACCTGTTCGGTGAGAAAAAAGAAAGACAACAATTTCTTAGGTTTACCATTTCGTCTTTTTGCTTAGTGCAATGTTTAATTCAAAATTATTTGTTCTAATAGAACTTGAAATGAGTTCATACCCAAGCAAGAAGCTGATTAAATGTAGAAGCTAAAGAAATGAAGTTATTTCAAAATTTCCAAACCAGCTTTACTGCTGAAACTCTTTTTTTTTTTTTTTTTCCCCTAAAAGATTCAATTCCTAAAGATAATGTGTTTTAGCATGTTATGACAAACATTTAGTGATGTCATTTCCATGTGGTACTAGACACCTTCTTTGCTTAAATGTCTAAATACATACCCCATTTTGGAGTTTGTCTTCAACAGCGGTAGCACCAAGAAGAATCAAATCTTTCTCAACCCTCTCCGCAACTGCCTCAACCAACTCCTCACGATCAGCACTCACTGTATTTTTGGCCTCGGTAAATTTTTCATTGAACTCGTTGTATTCCTCGTCATCAATTTCACGATATGCAAGTACCAATGTCCTCAAACCAGCATCAGCGTACTCATTAATTTGCTCCTTAGTTTGCTCTTCAAACTCCCTTCCATTCTTTGCAAGCCTTTCAAACATGACACTGCATGTGAAAACAAAAATTAATAAAGGTGTTAAGTAAAAATGAAACAGAAGAAATAACAGCGATGGCCCATCAAGAAGATAGGGAATTCCATACATATCAACCTTCCATGTCTAATTGAGGCTTCTCTGTTTGAGAAATCCATAAATGCTGCAGCTTATTGGTAAAAAAGCCACATACACAGCCACTCTTCTGACCAACAACTTGATAGCAAGTAGGAGATACATTTATTCCTTATACAGGAGCCAAGTTTATGTAATCCCAAACTTAATTTAAATAAAATCTCATAGCTTTAAAGTGATTTTCCATTTTACGAACCTGTCAGCACCTTTACAAAGCAATAGTAGCCTTCCCCCTTCATTTCTTACTATAACAGACATTCGCTTTCTTGAGCTACTAAACTCTAAGACGTTCAAAAGTTTGTACAACCTGCAAAATGCAATAAAAATGTAGAATGTTCTCTTTAGTTAATAAAACATATAAACCAGAAAAAATCTGTGACCATTGAGCTGAATAATCTAAAAACATAAGCAGTTTAGTATTAAAATCGAATATACAAAGTTAAACACATTTTACTAGCATATAGATATTAAAACAGAGAGAATTAACTGATGCAAAATTTCACATGAATAAAAATAATTTAGAATATCCTGTGAAATGTACTGACCTTTCAACCTTCCTACCAGATGTGGGATCCAACTCATGCAGCAAGATACTTGTTTGAGACCTCTCAAAAAATTCAAAGCCAAGTTCTCTTGCCGCAATCACAAAAGCCGCTTCATCTGGTGATTCAGCTTCATATGAAATTGTTCCTGTTTCTTCATCCACATCAGCTATGGCAGTATGGCAGATAGCCAATAACCGGAAGAACTTCTGGATTACATCTGATCGAGGCTCATTAACCCATTTACCATTCATGACCCTTTCATCCATGAAATTGAACCCCTTAATAGATGGCTTTGCTTCTGTAGAACCCTCTAAGCCCCCTTCATCTGTCACCTCTTGTGCTAAGGGTGACCCTTTTTTCCTAGCCAGAGCTCTCTCAACTTCTGTAACTCCACGGCCATAAGCGGTCCCTGCCACTGAACACTTGATAAATTCCATTGAGTTGCAAGTCAAGGTTCCTGTTTTATCAGAAAGTATTGTATCAACTTGACCAAGTTCTTCATTCAAATTTGAGGTACGTGCTTGTGCTGGCTTGTCACCTTCCTCATAGTACATGTACAAATCATTGTTGATGAATACACTCTGCAGGACTTTGACAATTTCTATCGAAACATATAAAGATATGGGAATCAAGTAACTATACAACATTAGATCAGTCAGAAATAGCAAAAGTGCTGCAATTGTTGCTCTTGTTGGATCATAGTAAATTGTAGTGTCATCTGGTCTAAGGTACCATCTTATCATCACGCCATTTTCCAGATCCTCGCTTGTCGCAATCCCAAAGAAAATTGACCCAACAACTGACATCAAAACTAGAGCAGAAAACAGCAAGTAGATAATTTTATCGGTTCTTCTCTCAATTGTGCTTCTCTTGGATGGGGGTCCAGTTGAATTTTGAATAACTTTTGTATCATGACCTGTGAAGATAACGACCCCATAAATGAAATCTGTGTTCTTTAGCTTCGAGTCTCTTAACAAAAGCTGCTGAGGTGCAAGTGGATATTGCTGTTCTCCGACCATCAAACTTCCAACAAAAGTATACAAATTTGCATTTGGGTCTTCACATCTAATGACCGCCCTGAAACTTTGTAATTTAGAGTCCTCATTTAAGTTTGAAGTTATTTCTAGAGCTTGTTTTAGCTTCAAATTGGTTTCTCCATCAAGATTTGTGGTCTCAACATAGCAAAATGCTTCTTCATAACTCGACGAAAGTAAAATGAGATCAGCAGGAAAAAATTCATCTTTTTCCACCTTGACTACATCTCCAACTCTCAAATCCCTCCATTTAGAATTATCAAAAATGCCATCACCAAGATGCACTTTAACCTTTCTGTTGTTCATCTCGATATCCTGATAACATTCCCACAACCATATTATACTGCGTAGAAAAATTGCCATAAAAATAAAGAATGATCATGAATATCAGATTTTAGATGAAAAGGCATCACTAGGTGGAGGTCTACAACAAATTCCAGATCTTAAACAATTGAAGGAAAGAAAGATTCTACTTATAATAAGATGAGGAAAAACGGAAGACTTGAATATATGTCTTACTGACACTGCCCTTTCCACATGTAGTTTTGACAGCATATAAAGACAACGATAATCAAAGAGAAACAGATCAAAACTGCCAATGACTATTATATAGATCCTGGTTTCAATTAAATGCATTTTTGTTTTAATACATAAAACAATCCTATGAAATGAAATAAGTTTTGAGACATACAAATTTGAATTTTTTTCTAAGAAATACATATTTGATTCTTTATGGTGGTTACATAGCATACCTATCAAACCTTTACACAACCATTTGCATCTTGATGTGGATATTCTTACAGAAAGAAACAGCCCCTCAGAATTGCATAAACGCTACATATGCTGACAATTTGTTCAATAACTACCGACAAATAAATTTATATGATGTATACATGTTTATAAATGATGTATAGTAAGTGACTAATTCATTGATTTCAATCACTTGGAGTGATTTTTTCTTTCCTATTAACTAACTACCGATACAAATATTCCCAGATTTTCACCTTGTTTAAAGTCTATGGCACTACTTCATTGACCGGCTCAGCAACTTCGAGGACAATTTCTTAAATTCAAATAACTATCTGTGAATAACTCCAATACATAAGTTAAACCAAATATTCACATAGTTCCAAAGATAATTCAATCATTTCAGTACAAATATGGAGAAGGTAAATTCATTATCTGTTCAAGAAGTTTTTTCAGACTAGAATATATTTGCTGGAGTGCAAGTTTGAAACCAAGATAGCCATGGCAATACTTACCACTGCTCCAAATAAATCCTTTTATCTAAAACTAAGACCGCATATTTTTTTTTTTTTTTAATGGAATATAAATGTGGTTTTATAAGGATACTCAACCAAGGCTTTGTACTTAGCAATGATTTATTATGAATGAATTCCTAAAATTTTCTGAGATCCTATCACTGCTCAGATGACAGACCAACTCAATAGACTACTTCAGACCTTTTAGTGAAATTCTATCATAATAAAAATAAAATGCACATAACCACCACTGCATACATTCGCAGACATCTACATTATTTCAGAGACTCTTTTACCACTTCAGTCACCAACTCGACCACCTAGATGACAATCTCTAATCCTAGACTAACTAAAAGTAAACAACTCCATCACATAAATTTCACAGATATTAACATTGTTTCAAAAATAATTTAACCACATTTGACCAACATGAAGTAGTAGCTCAAATGAGTTCACAGTTTAGTCTAGTATACATTTGCAGTATTTGTCAGTCAGAAATGGTAACACAATAAACCAAGAAAGTCGCATCTAAACAATACAAAATTTGATGTATTGCAAAAAGATTTACCTGCATTTTGCGCCTCCAATCTTCAAGAAGCTCTTTACCCATTGACACACAAATCACAACAACAAAAGGGAGCACATTGCTGACAGCAGAGTAAGGAGAGAGCGGAGTGAATGACAAGAGAGCGCACGCAAGGAAATATACATTGGCAACACGTCTGAATTGCTCGAACAATGATTTTGGAAGAAATGTTGCAAGGGTATACTTCGTAGTTCTGACATAATTGGGAACAAACTTGAAAGAAACGGCCTGAATGCAATCAGGGTCATTGCAAAAGACAACTCTCGAAAAGCCAGGGCCTCCAATAAGGGAAAGCTCCTCATCGGAAGATGTTCTTCCAAATGAAAATTCGTGGATTCTACTCAAATGCTGCTTTTTCCTTCTACCACCAGCCATACTCTATATCCCCAAAATCTTAAAAACCACAGCAAAAGCCCCTCTAGAAGATGCAAAATATTCTTCTTTAAGAATAAAACGCCTTACTGAAAAATTCAGGTAGTTAACAAGTGGATCAAGCCCACTAAGTTTTAGAATTAGATACCATATAAATAGCTTGTAAAATCATATAACGTGCTCAAAGCTCAAATATCCCAACTGTAAAAAAAATCCCAGGAAAAACCCAGAAGCTAACCAAAAACGAAATCAACTTTTCACACAAAAACATATTTATAAAAATGTGCTGTGTGTATGTGTGTGTATATTATGTATAGTAAAGAGGCAAAAATGCAAGTGATTATATAAAGATAACTAATTAAAGAAATAGAAGCACAAACAAAGACCCACCCTTTGAAGCTCAAGACACTACTCAAAGTCTAAGTATGCCCAAATTATATAAAAATATATTTCAGTTAAGCGAAGAATATGAGACAGAACAGAACAGGGGATTCCGAAGTGTCATTAATTTACCAACGATTCAATAATGGGAAGAATGGTAGTTGTGAATCTTAAGATTTAAGACTAGTATCTTGCTTTTTAGGCATTTGACTTGTAGCTACAACTTACAAGCAAAGAAGCTAAATGTGCACACGGGCTTTACATCTAATCCTATTTAGGGATTGAACTACTTCAAAAACAAGAACACAAAACAGAAATGAAATTATTCTCTGGAGTTAGTTGAAAACAGTTACTACCGACGTTTCAAGTGTCCAATTTTGTGCAATATATATATTTTTATATTGTGATGTGAAATAAAATATAAATTGGAAGTGTACACATGCAATAAGCAGTGTCTGGGAAGGTAAAGCTGCCACGTGTTGAGAAAAAAAAAAAAGAAAAAAAGAAAAGAAAAAAGATCATGTCTGTGTTACATATACTAACGTTATTCCTTTCTTGTTTCTAGGTTATACATTTTTATATTTGAAAAGAAAAAATAAAAAGAAAAGAAACGAGGACACAGAGAGAGAGAGAAAATTGTGCCACTAAAAGAAATAAATAGAAATTATAAGTCGGTCATTCGAGAGGTTGAGCCTTCGAGTCTTGCCAAATTTTTTTTTTTGTATTTTCGTATTTGTTAATTGGTGAGTTAATTGGCCTCACAAGCATTAGACATTAAACATGTATGAGATTCTTCCAAGAGTCAACTATTCATTCGGACTACGACTCATAGTGACTGGCATTTCTCAAAATAATAATAATAATAATAATGCTTAAAAAAACTCATAGACAGGAAAAAGGAGGAATCATTCCTTGTTGTATTCGAAAAGTTGAATGTGTTTTTATTTTCCATTTGTTCACACTTGCCGATAATAAGGGCTATACCAATTGTGGCTCAGGAATTGAACTCTTGCTCTCACTTCAGAGTCCGAGCATTTTGTCAGTCCATTGCTTACCTGAAAGTCCTTCGGTGGGTGCCGCCAGATAGCTACCGACTAATTCCCTCATGCAAGAGAGGATTGACTGGTTGGTTTCCTGGTGTGTGTGTGTGTGAAAGAGAGGTCATCTTAACTGATGGGTGACCAGAAAACAAGTGGCAACATGTGTAGCTCTACTGATCTTTTATTTGGGTTGCTAGACCTAAGAAATCAATAAAATTAGAATGACAGAAGGTAGGTAACATGGGTATATACGTGACTTCCCCATTTGGGCCATTTCCGTACCTTTTGACCACTGCAAATGTTGTGCGAACAATTTTTATCAATACGCGTCCATGGATATCTAAATCAGTACACTACTACAAAATCACTTTTCCTCACTACATTTAAATATATATATATAAATAAAATACACTCTTTATCATGGTTTACGAGGAGACGTTGTTGATGGAAAGAAAGGGTGTCACGCATATATAAATGAAAAGGCAAAATCGCCCTATTTCGGACAATATGATTAGCTCAAACCAACTTCCCTTCATCTTGAAGCAGGAGATCAACTCCATCTAATACTGAGCACGCCTCAACAAAAACCCGCCAAATCTGCAGCTCTACTTTTGTAAATGCACCTTTTGATAAGTATCCAATTGGGTTCTCCGATTCTTTTTTGCTTACACCCCTTTTCTCTTCAACATTCACATATCTTTTACAATAGCAAGATACGTTTACAAGATCTTCACCATTATAAGATTTCAACCATAAATGTTTCAACAGCAAAATTTATAACACTAACAGGTATATGATGAAGCACACCTTATTTTCAGAACTTGAAATCTATTTGTATTGGCATTTAAAGATGTTGACGAGGTTTTGCTTTAAGATTAAATGGCATTTCCCTCTATTATGTGGTTCTTCTGATTGTGGTCAGCCCCCAATCGATATAGAGCAAGACAAATAAGGAATTCCCATCAACTAATCTCTAGTAGTGGCTACTCAAAACCGCCAACCGTAGACTGGAACGAAGTAACGTTTGTGAAACTATCTTTCCAATTGTTGTGGTTCTTCTGCGAAGATATCCAGATGAAATATTTCCAATCTGATATCGTGCTCAGCATAGATTCTTCCTCAGTCTATCTACGCTTCTCCCTCTTTGCTTCTGAATGTTCTCTCTCATTAACATAGCGAGAATGTCTGCTGGGCGAGTCCTTGCTTCCATGCTTGCGCTTTGAGTGTTTTCTGCTGCTACTCTTTTCCCGAGAGGATCCCTTCTTTCTCCCCTTAGACTTTGAATGCTGTCGATCTCGATAATCATCAGACGAATCGGTGGTATCACTATATGAATTACTGCTTCGATGCCGATGACGCCTCGAGCGTTTTCTACTCCTTTCATCTTCTGATGAACTGCTACTCCAATGTTGGCGACGCCCCGTGGAAATTTTATCCTTCCTATTTTCTGCAGACACATTTTGTTCAACTTTACCAGGTATTTTCACAGAGGAACCAGTCTCAGTTGATTTGCTGCCACTTCTATGTGTGTTAGCATCAACAAGCTCATGTTTATGAGATCCACCCCCTTTAGAAATCTCCTGGTGATGTGGTTTGCCTTGTGGCACCTCCTGATTTATTAAAATACCGCTAACAGCATTAAGGGCGGATGGCGTCTCAACTGGCAGGGTGTTAGTATCTCCCTCATAAGCATTGACAGATTCTTTCTGTGTAGTTGATGTCCTAGCTTTGTTTTCTGAATGCAGTGGCATATCAGGGGGAACCTCCAGGCCTAGTTCTTTACCCAAGGATTCCAAAAAGTCACCTGCCATTAGACGACTTAAAGTGGTATTAGCAGCTTCAATCTTCTTTTCTGCATCCTCCACTTGATTGGGACTAGAATTTTCCTCATCCTCTGAATCATCGGAGAATATAGCCTGCAGGAGAAGAATCATCATCATCGGTGAAAGTTCAAAGCACAAGTTATTTAGTACACATATAAAATGACAATGTACATGGAACGTATAGATGTCATGAAGACAGAAATGAACTTAAATAAAAGCAAATAAGCAGATGTATGATCACATAAAGGACAACTGAACATTTTCTAGTTCATATCAGACAAAAGTACGAGTGCAGGTGTCATATCCATAAATGATTGACCTTTATGAGTTGAAAATAACAGCGGAATGCCTTGAAATCAAAAGGTTTATTATTGAGGAGAGAAAACAATGAAATTTCAGTAACCTACATAGACCTACAAAAAAATTGGCACCAGACCCAGGGAATAAAAAAATAATAAAAACAAAAAATTTGCCACCAGACCCATAAATGCAACAAAATCTGTAATTTTGATTCAATAATCGAAAAAGAAGTATATTGAAGGGTGTTAGAATGTTTATGCACATATATATATATTTATGTTGTGTCATTATGTAATTACCCATAGTTGTTAGGATCATTGTGTAATTAGGTTATCACTCTTCGTTTTATATAAGCCTCAATGCTTAGGGTTAATATATACAGAATATATACACAGCTTTGCTCTCTCTCTCTCTCTCTCACATGAATTCAAATATGGTATCAGAGCTATATGAATTCATGGGTGTGGGAAACGGCAATTGTGTTGTTCTTGAATCGCGATCGGAATCGCGATTGTGGTGTTGGTGTCTGTACCGGAAGTTTGGTCACCGGTAGGATTGAGAGCTCCTCGTTCGCCGTCCTCAGATCTAAAGCCTCATTCGTCGTCGTCAGACCTGAAGCCCATTTAGTTGCTCGCGTTGTTGCCACTTTGACTGTCAGCGAGCTCGCCGACATCTACCGTTGTTATTTGCAGAGGCAAGGCTTCATCGATTCGTCTTTTCTTTTGGCCGGAAGTTGCAGAGGTTCTGATTCGGTGTGGTCGCTGCCTAGTGAGTCGCCGCTGCTTGTGATTGGGTTGCCGTCGCCGCTGCGTGCTTGCCGGCGTCTGTCTGTGAGGTTGTGAAGAAGAACAACCGTGTTTGGCTACGCGGTTATGCTATTCCAACCCTGGTTTACTAAAACCGGGATAGCAGAGAACTGGTTTTGATCCAACCCAGTTCCGACCCGGTTGCCCAGATCCGGCCCATTTGCTCAGATCCGTCCCGTTCACCCAGATCCGGCCAGAATACAGATTCTGCGTTTTTTTTCCAGATTCGTTTTTTGGTTCTCTTCTCCATGGCTCCCAATTTAGACCTGTTATCTTCTGCCACCTTCAATCCTCCCATGACTTTAGTCAAGCTTAATGGCAAAAATTACATTTTATGGGCAAGTCAGTAGTCATTTTTCTGAAAGCCAAAGGCTTTGGCACTCATTTGGTTAAGGATAAACCTAAGGATAGTGATGCTGATTTCAGTTCATGGGAACAAAGGGATGCTCAAATCATTTCTTTAATGCTGAATTGTATTGAATCTCATATTAGCTCCAACTTCTTGTATTTGGACACTGCCAAGGAGATATGGAACCGACTCCAACAGTTATATTCGGGTACTGGTAAAATAACCAGAATTTATGAGGTGTGCAGACAACTCTTTGACCTCCAGCAAGGTACTCACAGTCTAGAAGTATACCTCTCACGGGCAATGGGACTTTGTGAAGAAATGAACTTGTATCAACCCATCACCTCTGATGTGAAGAGCATGTAACAACAACGTGAGGATTTTAATATTGTTTGGATTCTCACAGGGTTGTCACTAGAGTACGAACCTGTTCGAGCACAAATTTTGAGTAGCCCTGCACTTCCCCCTCTTCCTGATATGTTATCAAGACTCCAGCGTGCTACTTTATCTAGTGGTGCTTCAAGTGGTGTCATTGCTCCTCCTAGCAGTGAGCGTTCTGCCTTAGTTGTGAACCAGGGTGGCTTTCGCAGTTGTTTTACTCGTGGTCGTGGCAGAGGCAGAGACACGAAACTTTGCACTCACTGCGGTCTCACTAATCACACTGTCAATTACTGTTGGGATCTTCAATGAAAACCGCCACCTTCTACCTATGCACATCAAGTGAATTCTAATGAAGGGGATTCTTCCTTCTCTGCCACACCCACTGCTCCACACGTAGTTGTTGAGCCTGCTATGGTCACGATTCCCCGCGATGAGTATGCTCAGTTTCTGTCTCAACAACGGCCTTCCACCTTATCTTCCATGGTTTCCTTTGCCCAATCAGGTAGTGCCCCTGCATGTCTCTTCTCCTCTCATCAGAGTCTTGACTCTGGCGCATCCGATCACATGACTGGTAGTTCTCATCGCTTATTTGATTTTCAGTTTGTTCCTTCCTCTCAAAGTGTTACTCTTGCTAATGGCTCATCAACTAAAGTTTTGGGTTTGGGAACTATTCATCTCACCTCTTCTATATCCCTTTCCTCTGTGTTATTGTAACGACCCACTTTACCACATGGTATGATATTGTCTGCTTTGGGCCTGAGCCCGCACGGTTTTGCTCTTAGGCTTTACCCCAAAAGGCCTCATACCAATTGGAGTGACACACCTACATATAAGCACTTCACCTTTCCCTTTCCCAGGCGATATGGGATTGTGCACCCGTAACTCGCTAGTGTGGTAGCCTGTCAGTGTCTCGCCCACGGCACACCCGCCCACAGGGTCATTACAATCTACCCCCCTTAGAGGACCGACGTCCCCGTCCGCACACTTCCGACTGGGTCAGGCTCTGATACCAATTTTAACGACCCACTCTACCACATGGTATGATATTGTCCGCTTTGGGCCTGAGCCCGCACGGTTTTGCTCTTGAGCTTTGCCCAAAGCGGACAATATCATACCATGTGGTGGAGTGGGTCGTTACAGTTATATGTTCCTCAATTCCCTTTTAATTTGTCGTCCATTAGTAAAATTACTAAATCTCTTAACTGCTTCGTTACATTTTATCCCACATGTATTTTTCAGGATCTCAAGACAAAGAAGAAGATTGGTACGGGACATGAAGTAGGTGGCTTGTATTACTTCGATCTTGCACCATCTCCCATGGCTCTTCAATCATCTTTGTCTTCTTTCCAGTGGCACTGTTGTCTCCGCCACCCATCATTATCAATTTTGCAACGTCAAGTCCCCGGTCCTAGTCATGTTGAGTCCATGTCTTGTGAAGCATGTAAGCTTAGTAAGCATTGTTGTGTATCTTTCAAACCGAGAGCTAGTAATCGTGTTGCTAGTTCTTTTCAGTTAGTTCATTCAGATGTATGGGGACCAATAAAACATATTTCTATTAATGGATTTTGTGACTTTTGTGGATGATCATTCTCGTATGACTTGGTTGTTTTTAATGAAAAATCATTCTGAGTTGTTCTCTATTTTTCAAATATTTCGCAAAGAAATAAAAACTCAATTTGGGTGTTCCATTAAAGTGTTACGTTCTGACAATGCCAAAGAATATTTTTCGGACCCTTTTGAGACTTATTTTCATGCTAAAGGCATCATTCATCAATCATCTTGTACTTATACTCCTCAACAAAAAGGAGTAGCTGAACGTAAAAATCGTCATCTCTTGGAAGTCTGTCGTGCCCTTTTATTTCATATGCATGTTCCCAAACGTTTTTGGAGTGATGGTGTTCTTACGGCATGTCACTTATTAATCGGATGCCCTCGACAGTGTTACAAGGTAAATCTCTTCATTCTGTTCTATTTTCAAACTCCGCATTGTTTAATCTTACTCCTCGAGTCTTTGGATGTGTGTGTTATGTCCATAACCTTGGACCCAGTCTTGATAAACTCGACCCTCGTGCCACTAAGAGTGTTTTTCTTGAGTATTCTCGCACTCAAAAGGGTTATCGTTGTTATAGTCCTCATTTTCAACGCTATTTCACTAGTGCTGATGTCTCCTTTTCTGAGTCTCTCCCATATTTTTCTAATTCTACTACTCCTCTTGATATTACTCCTGAGCCACCTATCCCAACGGTTCCCTCTTTGTTTCCTGCTTCCGCACCTCCTCACTCCGTTGTCCCATTGCAGGTTTATACCTGACGACCTTGACCGCCTACTTCGCTCCCTCCATCTCCTTCAGAGTCTTCGGATCCGACGCCTTTGCCTAATGATTTGCCTATTGCTCTCCGCAAAGGTATTCGGTCGTGTGTTACTACACATCCCATTTCTAACTTTGTCTCCTACCATCATATTTCATCCTCTTTATCTTGTTTTTTATCCAGTGTCTGCTACTTTCGTTCCAAAGACTTTGCAAGATGCTCTCTCTGATTCGGATTGGCGCCAAGCCATGGTAGATTAAATGGATGCCCTTCATCGTAATCAAACTTGGGATTTTGTTCCCTTACCTCCGAGCTCCAAAACAGTTGGTTATAAGTGGGTCTACGCAGTTAAATACCTTCACGATGGGTCTATTGAGCGGTTGAAGGCTCGTCTAGTGGCAAAAGGGTACACTCAGACTTATGGTGTTGATTATGATGAGACTTTTTCCCCTGTTGCTAAGATTTCTTCTATTCGAGTACTTATTTCCATTGCTGCCAATTGTAACTGGCCGTTGTTTCAATTGGATGTCAAAAATGCCTTCTTATATGGTGACCTGGTTGAAGAAGTTTATATAGAGCAACCACCTAAGTTTGTTGCTCAGGGGAAGTCTCATCACACTGTTTGTCACCTTAAAAAGGCCCTGTATGGATTGAAACAATCTCCACGGGCTTGGTTGGAAATTTCTCTGAGGCGGCATTAGAATTTGGTCTTAAAAGATGCCAGACCAATCATTCAGTATTTTACCTGCGCACTAAAGCTAGCTTCATTTTTCTTGCGGTGTATGTAGACGATATTGTGATCACAGGTGATGATTCTGAAGGCATTGCTAAGTTGAAGTTGTTTCTGCAAAATCGATTCCACACTAAAGAATTGGGTAAACTTAGGTACTTCTTGGGTATTGAAGTTGCTAGATCCAGGGAGGGTATAAGTTTATCTCAACGAAAATATGTGTTGGACTTACTAAAAGAAACGGGTGCGTTAGGTGGTCATCCGATTGATGCTTCTATGGATTCAAATACAAAACTTATGTTTGATGAGAGTGATCTATTTAATGACCCGGGCAGATTTCGTCACCTTGTTGGGAAATTAATTTATCTCACTATCACTCGACCTAATATTTCATATGCAGTTAGTGTTGTAAGTCAGTTTATGGGAGCTCCTAGAATGCCACATTGGATTGTAGTTCTTCAGATTATCCGATATCTCAAGCAAGCTCCAAGTTTTGGGTTACTATACAAATCAAATGACATATCAGGGTAGAAGGTTTTACAGATGCTGACTGGGCTGGTTCTCCTTTAGATAGGAGATCTACTACAGGCTACTACACATTTGTAGGAGGAAATCTTGTTACATAGAAAAGTAAAAAGCAAACGGTGGTAGCTCGATCTAGTGCTGAAGCTGAGTACAAGGCAATGGCCCATACCACTAGTGAGTTAACATGGATATAACATTTTCTAAAAGAACTTGGGTTGATAGTTAAAGCTCCTACTCCATTGTTCTGTGATAATCAAGCACCTGTTCACATTGCATCAAATCATGTGTTTCATGAGAGGACCAAACATATTGAGGTTGATTGTCACTTTATTCGGGAAAAAATATTAAGTGGGAGCATCTCTACTCCATTTGTGAAGTCTGAAGATCAACTAGCTAATATGTTTCCCAAAGCATTGGGTCATAACCGGTTAAGGACTTTCTATTCCAAGCTGGGATTATTTGATATATATTCTCCAGCTTGAGGGGGAGTGTTAGAATGTTTATGTATATATATATATTTATGTTAGGTCATTATGTAATTACCCATAGTTGTTAGGATCATTGTGTAATTAGGTAACATTGTGTAATTAGGTTATCACTCTTTGTTTTATATAAGCCTCAGTATATACAGAATATATACACAACTTTGCTCTCTCTCTCTCTCTCTCTGAATGTTGTGTGATTGGCATATATATACAGAATATATAAGCCTCAGTGCTTAAGGTTAATATATACAGAATATATACACAACTTTGCTCTCTCTGAATGTTGTGTGATTGGCATATATCTACCAAGATGAAGGAAATTTTTATGTGAAGGCAAAGGGTCATCCATATATTTAGATGTTGCAGTTCAGAGATACACCTATAGCAGGGAGGTGTATGAACAGTGAACAATGAGATGGATGACACAGATTCTAAAGAACATAAAATGACCGGTTATCTATAAGGATCGCATAGGCAAGCATTACAAGGATGGAAAAACAGAAAGGAAAGGACAAAGGGTTCAGGAAGTTCATTAATTCTTATCTTACAATGCATGACAATCTTATTTTTCTTTTGACATAAAGTTATGATCCTGAATAAGAATAAAATCTGAAAAAAATCTTGTATCTTTCCAACTTAAGGTAGATAATGAGGAATTGTTCTGAGCAAAGGGCATAAGGGAACTTTTCTTCCATCCTCCTTTATGAGGTAGGAGCAGGATAATTTTCTTTCTTTAAACACAATTGAGCTCGTGCGTGAAAGTTCTTTTTTTTTTTTTTTTTTTTTTTTCCACGAATGCATCCCTACACAACTAAATATGAGAGACACTAATAGATAATACCATAGAGAAAAATTATGTACAGTCACATGTCCTACCATGTTTGATAGGAATCCTTTTTATATATAGAAAACCCAATAAAAAGCTATGTAATAGAACAAAATGGTACCTTATAGAGGTCAACTGGCCTCTCAACATTTTCAGCTTGCACCTCGCCTTGAATTTCGCCATCACTTGCTTCTTTGTTTATCTCTTCAACACTTGATTGGTGCCCAGGCAATGATTCCCTATTTGTGGCAACAGTTCCTTCCGGTTTTGCAGATTTAACTGAATCTGGCATGAAAATAAGAGAATCTATCTTGCTCCTCACCCGCGGAGCTGGTGGTGGCTGAAAACAACAACATGCATTCAGTTTAATTTAACTTCTCGGAAAAAAAACATGCATAAGTAAGCTAAAAAATTTCAATTTGACGTGAGATAGCATACCAATATAATAATAAGAAAAGTGTGACATATGCATTTATGGGCTTCCTAGGGAAAGATGAAGACAACAAAAGAAATAGAAAACCTAAAAGAAGGTGCACTTAGCCTCACTGATAAACTTTCTAGGTAGTCATACCAGAGAACTAGGATTGAAACTTCCCTTCTGCAATTGGACAACCTGTCAACCGCAAACCAAAAGAAGAAACACCACGCATACTCTAAAAAAACATGAGTTCCAACTTCCCACTAACACCGAGATGAGAAATTTGCATCACTCATTGATGAACAAAAGAGTTCTACATATACAAGGTGAAAAAGTTCCCAACTCCAAAATACTAAATAAATGCATAAACGTTTTAATTTCATGGATCTATATGCAGAACAGGAGCAAAAGAGCAAACCACACAACCTTCCCCAAGTAAGTTAAGGATATGCAGAAACAAACTCATAGAATGCCTTCATTAATGAATGAACAATGAAACAAAAGGAAACCAAGCATGTTTGCTTTCTGTACACAAAATTGTCAATCAAAAAATTAACTTCTGCCTATAAAAGTAATTGGCTTCCTAAGATGCACAGATACAGTTATGAGACACATATATGACATGACACCAAACGGACACGGCAGGGACATGGAGAATAATATATATATATTATTTATGTGATAGTATCTATTATGAGACAAATATTACTTTTCGTCAAATTAAGAATAAAAGATCCCATATCGCAATAACTAATGAATTACAACAACAATCCTCTCATTTTATAAGAGAAACCAGATGAGAGAATGGGCTAAAAGTATATTCTCTAAACTTGCTTTATAAAGTTTGTTGTAATCTAAATCCATACCTAAACAAAATAATAAGTTGAATAAGAATGAAAGTGAGAGAGAGGGAGAGAATCAGTCAAAGAAAGAAAAAATAAAGATACAAGAAAACTAAGGTGTTGTTGAGTAAAAAAAGTAACTCTTTGTTGATAACAAAAGAGGAAACCCGTAGAAGAAGAAAAAGGTTTGTGATAGGAAGTGAAGGACAAAAAGAAAAGAAAAAAGCGATAGAAATAGTGTAATGTCCCAGTTTTTTTTTTGGATTTTTTGGTACTTTTATTTTTATTATTTTTTGTACCTCGTTTTGCGTGCCACGTTGGTCCCGGGAATCATTTGGGACATTTCTACGAGTTTGGGACACTTAGAAATGTACCGTGAACATTTTCGCCATTTTTGAATGCACGGAGTCATTTTTGAGTTTTCGGGGCCGGGACCGGATTTTCCGTGTTTGGGAATTCTTCCGGTTTTGCATTTTATTCATTATTGCATTTGGCATGTATATTATATATATATATACATATATATAGGTGTATATTTATGCAAGATATTTTAGATGGCATGCTAGTTTATATGATGACACACAAAGGGTATTTTTGCACATTAGCTTTGGAGGTGGGGGCCACCATTGGGACACATGGGCAAAGGAAGGCCACAAGTCCAAATTTTTGTTTGGCAAACACTTTTCTCCTCCCCCGTGATTCGGCCAAGCTCTCTCTCTCTCTAGAATTTTTCATTCTCTCTATGTTTCATTCTCTTTCTAAAAACACAAACCCTCTTCTTTGAATCTCATATCTGAGCTAGTTAGAGTGAGATTTGAGAGTTGAGCAAGAAGAAAATTTGGTTCTACTTCACAAGGGCTTTCATTTGACAATTTCTATTGTGTTAAGCTTCGCCAGAAGCAAGATGAGGTCAACTGAAAGGTTTCATGTTGAGCTCTAAGTTTTATATTCCTTGGTTTGCTGACTCTCGACACTAATCTTGCTAGCATTTGGAAATTTCTGAAAATTGGAGTGTCTTAGGGCTTGTTTGTTTGGCTTCACTTTGAGGTAGGGGTGTTTAAACCATTATACTTTGCCTTTTCATGAGTTCTTTGTCTTGATTTTCTACTAAGCATGTTTGAGTTTGAAGACATTGAATTGAAATGCTAGTTGTGCTTCTTAGATGAAAAATCCATGCTTTAATGTGATATTTGGATGATTATGTGCTAAATTGCCCAATTCATTTGCCATGAGTACGTCTTGCCTTGTTGTGAATGTTTGAATAATTATGATGAGCATATAATAAAGGAAAACATTGTCTTAGTTAATTTAATCGAAATGTTATACATGAAAATGTTGATTAAGTACATTATGCTTTTAATTTGCAAATTATGTGCACGCTAGGATGCCTTTGTGATTAAGGTTGTTGTTGTAGTACATGGATTAAACATATAGTGATGCATGGTCCATTCATGGCATAAGCATGGTAGAAAGGGTGGGTTGAGAAGTCAAATGAATTGAATTTCAAGAAGTTTGTGAAAAAGTTTTAGAAAGGAACCGGATATCTCGAGTTTGAGTTTTGGGATTGGTTACTGTTCACCAGAGAATTGGAGTTAGGACGACTGGTCGCCCCAACCTACGACTGGTCGTTGCTTGTAGCGTGCCTACACGCGCAACACACACGCAGGGCACTGGACATTCCTATTACACATGCCAATATTTGCACAGTTGATTTTGGTCATCGTTTCAATCATTATATAACCCGACCAGTAGTGAGCCCATTTAGAAGTGATGCTCAATGACCGTTTTACCCTCATTTAATTCCTCGGGTTCGGATAAGGTCCCGGTTACGTATCATCGACTGTTAGCAATTCGGATCCTCAGATTCAGGTTATTACAAATAGAGGATTTATTGAAGGAGCAGAAGAAGGGACGTCATTGTAATAAGTTCGAAGCTTGGTTACAAAAGAGAGCTAGAATCTTACCATTTTCTTTTTATCATTATTTACAATTTCAAACAAGTAATAACTCTAAGAAAATCAAGTCAAGAAAATTGCTTCATAAATTATATTTAAAAAAACTTATTTTTTATTTTATTTTATTTTTTTTGTTTGGACCTACACGTTATTGAAACTTTTCAAACAATTTCACATATTTTACATTTTAAACCATCGTTTTCGGTATTTTTTTTAAAAAAAAAACCTTTTTTAATCAAACAAGTGTGTCAGCTGCATGTCTACAAGTCCAAAAATAAAAAATATTCAGACGCGTTTTTTAGCGTGTCCGACACGTGCCAGGCCGTGTCGGACATTTGTTCTTGTCTAACATGAGTCCGACATGGACATTTCAACCTTTTAAGCGTGTCCGTGCTTCCTAGCAGTTTCCACAAAAAAAAAAAAAAAAAAAAAAAAAAAGAAAGAAGTTAAAAGTTTGCAATTTGAGGAAGAATGGAAATAGTGTACCTTCCCCAAGTAAGGATCCATAATATCAAAGCGTTTGCACAGAATAGATGAAGGTCGCCACTGATACTCTTCTCGTTTCGGGTACATTTTCTTCATCATCAACTCTTCAGCTTGACTAATTTTAGTTTGCTGTTTTCAGACACTTGAGTAAACAACTTGAAACCAAGTCTGCAAACTTAAAATTATAGGTTACACATCCTGATACATACCTCAAGTGCACCAGAGGTAAACTGCAATCCTGAAATTGGGGATAGCGCCATAATTTTCTGATCAAAAAAACCACTTTCTTTCCCCCATTTACCTTTCTCTATTGCCAAAGCTGCAGACTCAAACTCTAATTTCTCACGAGCACGTGCAGCTTCTGACATGTTGCTTGCTCCAGCAGAATCTTTTGAACGAAGCCCTCCTTGGTACTTCTCCTTGAGGAATTGCTCGAATCTTTCTTGCTTGGCAGGATCGTCTCGAAAAGGTTTTGCAGCTTCTGGGACCTCACACTAGATTCCAAATAAACGAATACATAGACATGTGATTCCAACTTCTATTTTCTATGAAAACGCCAAATTGAGGTGTAGCATACTGGATTTCATATTAGTAAACAGTGCGAGATGTCATTTTCAAGCTAAGGATTGCCACATAAATTTAGGTCACTTACAAATGACGCAGGTGTAGTGAATGTATCTGTAAGATGGAATTGGAGTTGAGCAGAATCTGCAGAAGTAACTGATGAGCTCACATCTATGGAGCTTCTCTCAAGGGGTTTTTCTCCTAAAATTTTGCCACGGCTCTCTGCTGTCATCTTCTGCACACTTGGAAAGATTTTTGCATCCAATTGCTTCTTGGTTTGATCATTACGCTTCTGTCGCTCCTCCCAGAGCTTCCTTGCATAATAATCATGGCCATTTCCTCCATTAAGAAAAGAAAATAATGGATTCGATTGATTCTTCTCTCTGGAGAGATCCTCAAATAATTTGCCAGAGCGAGCCACTAGAGTTGCAACCCCTTCAATCATGATTTTTAGATTGTTATCCTCTGGAGGAGGAATCTCTGGGGGAGGGGCATCAGCAACTTTGTTGTCAGTATCAAGAGGAGCTGGAAATCTATGATGGGGTACAAAATCCTTCGGAACAACTGGAGGATCAAACCTGAACAACAATTAGGAAAACCGAGCTATCTTAGGACCAAAAAGATAATAATAGTAAGTAAATGATGTGTTCATTTGAAAGAAAATAATACTTAAACCATTACAATGCACCTACAAGGAAATTTATCACTCAACATACTGTATTGCGACTTGATTTTTTCTACTTTCCATATGTTGTGTGGTGACTTAGTAAGATGAACTTATATTTTGAATAAATTGAAAAAAGAAAAAAACTGAATGATGCAAAAGAAATTAAATGGTTGGAAGATGATGTCCATTGCAGTAATTTTCAGTTCAGTGAAAAATAAGAGCCTCTTTGCTTTGGATTATTTTAGTTGATATAATCACAAAACAGATTTAATCAGTTCTCCGTTTGGAGAGGAAGGGGGGGGGGGGGGGGGGGGGGGGGGGGGTGGGGGGGGGTTGATGGGAGAAGTAAGTTTGGTAACCAGATGAAATCATTATATAGCTGTATAAAAAAAATAAAAATAAAAAACCAACTAAAGTATAATCAGGTCTCAAACTCATCAGTACTTAATGAAGTAATGCCTGGAACCAAAATCTGGAAATCCAACGGAAACAGTTTTCCTTCTGTCTTAACTGAAAACATAACTATTCACAAATTTATTCAATTTTCTACTATTTTTAATAATCATTTATTGTAATTATCAGAACCATGTGAGATAAACCAAACAAATATTCTTAAGTATCATAAATTTATTCCTTCATGCCTAACATTGAAAAATCATGTCTAGAAAGATTCATCAGGTGTAAACAAAGCTTTATATCTCATGAAGTACTAACTTTTCTAATGTCAATTTACAGGAAAAGCTAGTTTTTTTTAACTATAAACTTAAATGAGCAATGCGGAAGCAAGACAGATACTGATGGAAGCCCTCAGATTAAGGTTCTTCTAGTTATGTTTTCTATTGGAAATTTAAGATTGCAAAAGAGGATTTAAGAACATAAAATGGTAACCAGATGAAGTCATTATATAGCTGTATAAAAAAATAATAATAATAATAATAATAATAAAATAAAATAAATCTAAAGTATAATCAGGTCTCAAGCTCATCAGTACTTAATGAGGTAATGCCTGGAGCCAATATCTGGAAATCCAACGGAAACAGTTTTCCTTCTGTCTTAACCGAAAACATAATTATTCACAAATTTATTCAATTTTCTACTATTTTTAATAATCATTTATTGTAATTATCAGAACCATGTGAGATAAACCAAACAAATATTCTTAAGTGTCATATATTTATTCCTTCATGCCTAACATTGAAAAATCATGTCTAGAAAGATTCATCAGGTGTAAACAAAGCTTTATATCTCATGAAGTACTAACTTTTCTAATGTCAATTTACAGGAAAAGCTAGTTTTTTTTAACTATAAACTTAAATGAGCAATGCGGAAGCAAGACAGATACTGATGGAAGCCCTCAGATTAAGGTTCTTCTAGTTATGTTTTATATTGGAAATTTAAGATTGCAAAAGAGGATTTAAGAACATAAAATGGGGAAGGCTTCAGAAATACATAGGGGAGAAAAGTTATGGCCTGCGGGGAAGTCAATGATCTAGATGTGAAAGAAGGGGATTAAATGAGGAGGAAATGGCAAGAATAGATACAGGAAGGCAGAGCTGAGGAGAATTACTTTGATGGGAGAGGTAAATTGGAAGACAACTCTCTCTTTTGCTAAAGGAGTGTCTTCAGAATATAAGTTCTTTTTCAAGTTCATTTATTCTTATAGGCATGCCAATCAGATTGAAAGAGTCACTAATCAAAGGAAGGAGGTCACCAAAGAGGATGTTAAGGATGGTATTGTGCGTTCTACAGGAAATTCTACAGCAAACTGAGAATTGGAAATACAGGCTGGATGGTTTGCAATCCAAAGAATAAGGGATGCTGATAAAGAGGAGGACAAGGTGGAAGCTTTGAAAAGTCTTAATGTGGATAGAACCCCAGAGCCTGATGGGATGAAGATGGCTTTCTCAAACGGTGTTGGGAGATGGCAATATGCTAGCTTTTTTTATTATTTGCATGATGTGGGGAAGTCTGAAAGAAGCTTAAATGCATCTTTTATTGCCTTGATTCCAAAGAAGGGGGCAACAGCAGTGATTTGAAGGAATTCAGGAAGCTAGGTGAGGTAGAGTTCAGGAAGCTAGGTGAGGTAGAGGTTGTATAAATTCCTAGCTAAGGTGTTAGCCCTAAAGGCCAAGGAGACTGTTAGATGATACTGTATCCGATTCATATAATGCCCTTTGGTAAAGGCCGTCAAATGTTGGATGCAGTTTCAGTAGCAAATGAGTGTAGACACCAAAATTGAGAGCTGACCCTAGTGTACTATTTAAATAGGATACCAAAAAGGTTTATGTTCATGTGATTTTGGAATTCAGTAGCAAAAGGTGTACTATCTAAATTGGGGCTTGGAGGCAGCTTCTTCAGCTATCCTATCACTTACCATTGTTGATAACACTATTGTCTTCTACGAGTGATTGTGCCGCTATGACGTGGCGTCAGGTCCCATTGACATTTTTTTAGAAATAGTTTCTCCATGCTTTTTCTTTCTTTTTTTTTAAACACAACTGACGTAGAAGATCATTCTCTTTTCTGTGCTTTGCTACCTTCTCTTTTCTTTTTCTATTTTTCCTTTCTTCTCTACTTTTCTAGTTTTCTTCCATGTAACGTATACTCGTAAAAAAATGCGTGAAGTACACGTGTGGGACACGACACACAGAGGTAGGTATGAGATATGCATCTAACATATTCCATAGAATATGCTCCTACAAAACATATCCAGCAATTCAATTTTATTACATTAATACTTCAACATGAGTGAAATGCCTATGTTGGAATTTGGATACCATGTTACATAAAAACATCATATTTGTTTTCTAGAAAATAAAAGAAAATTTAAATAATATGAATATTTAGTAGAGTCGTCGTGTCCTTCTGTTTGGGGCTTTAATACATTTTGCACTTGGACACATACCTGCACTCGACATCCATAGTCATGTCCATGTAACATAGTTTTTCTTTGCTATTTTGGCAGCAACAACAGAATGAAAGCAAAATATATCCTCTGATGCAAAATGGATAAGGATTGGATAACTTTCTTGTTAAGTGAAAAAAAAAATGATTTTATATAATATATTTCTTTGGATGTACTGTACAACATGTATTGTAAGATGTATATTGCACATTAAAAATAATTTTTCCCATAAGTATTATAGTTAGGCTTGAGAATTAATTTTTATGTGAAAATCAGAACATAGCAATTTAAAAATGTACTAATAAGAGAAAGAGAGTTTAAACTTGAGTACATCAAGAAGTTACTGCAAAGAATCACCTTTCCAACTGGTAGTCAGAATTTGATGCACCTTTAAAACCAGGAAGAACACCTAGTTCTTTTCCACTGAACTTTTTCTTATTTTCCAATCTCAAAGTTGAAGGCTCTTCAATTTCTTGAACATAAGTTTCTTCAAAGTTATAACCTGAACAAAAAGTATCATTAGATTCATTACGAGTGGCAATTTGGCAAATCTATCCTTTACATCAATATTTGGCCAAAGAAATTGTTGAACAGTGATTAAGGCATGGTATGAAAAGGCAGGAGTGGATGTCAGGGTTGCATTCTTTATGTAGTTGACCCAAATCATGCATACACAAAAAGTAGATAATTGATCATTTGAATATAGACTAAAGGACATATTGATTATTGATGCATCATAAATAGTGATGTTCACCCTATCAACACACAAACACACTCGTGCCAAAAAAAAAAAATAGAGGGGGATATATGCATGTGTGTGTAGAGAGAGAATATTAGTTTCAAGATGTGCCTACATACATTTTACTGGCATTTTGCACTTCAGGAGCTGTACACTTCTTTATTTAAAAATAAATATAAAAATCTAAACCAGGAAGACCACCAGTACATGTAGCATAAAAATCAAACATAGATCGATTAGCTGCTTCAGTTGAGACGCAATATACATTATCTACTCCCTCCGTCCCATAAAAAGTGTTGCCCTTTGAAATCTCTAACTTTTTTCCAAACCTATGGACAATTTGGAGAAGTTGAAATTTGAAACATATCAAAAAGGAAAGCGGACACTTACTTTAGGACATCCCGAAAAGGAAAGCAAGACACTTATTATGGGACAGAGGGAACAACATCACTATTATGAGTATCCACTCATACATAACAGCTTACAGTCTAAATTTCAGAGCACTCCCTTCAACCCAGGGATCACAAGATTTTGCTTCCAAAGCAGCGGTAAGAAAGAACTTATCACAAGCATTACTATATCATTGCAATGCAGTGGATGAGGACAAAAGAAGAAAGAGAGAGAGAGAGAGCTGTAGGCCTTCATTCCTCTAACATGATGTATCTTTTAGGAGAAAAATATTTATTTATTTTTTCTATTTTCTGGTCTGTATCGAGAGAAGATAGAAGAGACCATCTTTTTAATTGGGAATTGGTTTGCTGGCATAATAATAATTCTTAAGCCTAACCAATGTTATAGCCCGGATCAGCATCTGCTATCCAAGAACACAAAAGAAATTTTGAGCCACTTTGTCATCTGTTGCCCCTTTTATGCATTATGGCATATGCGTTTGGTGTCTCACTCTCTCCAAGTTTTATGGGATTGCTTTGCTTTGCATGAGATTTTTTTTTTTTTTTTTCTCTTTCGTGGTTTTTCTAATTTGTGGAGAGCGAAAATTCTCCCAGATAGTGATGTCCTAGCTATGATACAGACCACTTGGACCAGGACCAGAATTTAAGATAACAAGATTAAGAGAATCTCTTGGATAAAGTGCTTTTGGGTCTCTCTCAGCCTCCATGACTGAAGTAACAGCAGGATGCCTACGGAATTGATTTACAAGATTGGATTGGGACTTCTTCTTACAGGGGCAAAGGCCAACTCTGTCAAAAAATCTAGAGCTTTTTCTGAAGGGGATAGTCAAATTTACTTTCAATGGCTATGCGCTGGAACTCAATATCAACAAGAGATAGGAGACACTTTTTTCAACTCCCATTCTTAGTAATATTATCTTCTCTTTTTCCAAGGCAGCCGGAATTGGACTTCATATCAAAGCAGAGATCCGAGTCTCCTTTAGGGGCTACAGGATGCCTCATATTTGAGATTTCATCATTTTTGTGATTGAGGGCAACCACAAGGTGGTGATGGGGGGTGAAATCCCAAAACCTTCAGATCAAAGCCCTATTCCCACCTTATTCCATGAAATTAGAGATCTTACTTTAGAAGCAGTAATCAAATGGTCCCAAGATAAACTATTAGAAGTGCAAATCAACGGATAAAGCGGGAGCAGTTACTAGAGGAAACTTCTATCCCATGAGGAGGGACCAGGGTCAGGTTGAAAAAGCTTTGTGTTTTCTATATTGCCATTGGTTGATTAGTGGATTTAACTTTCCATTGTTGGAAGGATTCCTAATCCTTACCCACTGTGTATTGCAGTTCCAATATTATAATTAAGGGTTAACTGCACTGACACCCCCCGAGGTTTTGGTCAATTCCACTCAGCGGCTGGTCAACACAATTTTGGACAATGACACCCCTGAGGTTTCAAATGACATAATGCCCTTGAATTTTTAAATCAATTGTATTCACAAAATATCAACAATGTGAATTGACAAAAGAATTTTTTTCCCCTCAACACCAGAGAAGATGATGAGAGAGAAAAGAGAGCTCAGCTCTTTAGAGAGGGGTGTCGCCACCACCAACTACCATCGCCACTTCCACCAACAGCCGCCCCTCTCTCCACTCACCACTACAGCATCAACCCCACAACCACCACCCACCATGCCGACCAGTTCTCACCACTAACTGCCATTGCTGCCACCAACCACCATCGCCGCCGCCGCCCACCATCTTCCGCCCTTTCTTTCTTTCTCTCTCCTCATAAATCTCCTCTTTGTATACGTGTCTCCCCCTCTGTAATCTCTCTGTCATCCCCAAACACCACCACCACACCCAGACACCTCCACAACCACAGCCACCACCATCACAATAGAAAGAAAAGAAAAAAAAAAAAAACCAAACACCATCACAACCCCCACCACAATCAGACACCACTACCACCACAACAATAGAAAAAAAATTTAGAAACAACACCACCACCGCCGCCACAATAAATTTGTAGCTTCAATTTAAAGATTGTTGGGCAAAGGGAATTAGGGTTTGAAATTCAAATTAGGGTAAAATAGAGTAACAAAAAATGGAGATATACAGAGTTACACCCGGTCGTGGACGCTCCTCTGCATTGTCACCATGTGCAGTACCATCGGCTACGGCGACATCGCAGAGATCTCAGGCCAGCCACTAAGGTCTTCTTCACGCTAATGGGGTGTAAATTAGCTACTGATACCGATGATGATGGATGATGGGTCAATCCTTTATATCTAATGGCTTTGCTCCATCGATACAACTACTGTACTGATGATGGTGGACGATGGGTCAATTTGGTCCATTAAAATTAATTAGAAAGCATTTAGGTCATTTCATGATTAAAAAGTAATTGTTGACTAGTCAAAGGACATTTAGGTCTTTTTCTAGGTCGGTAAGGGGTGTGGATGCAATATATTAAAACCTCAGGAGGTATTAATGTTCAAAAAACGTTGACCAGCTGCTGCTGAGTGGCATTGACAATACCTTAGGGGGTGTCAGTGCAATTAACCCTATAATTAATTAGAAATAAAATAAAAACAAGAGTATTGGGGTAAATGTTGCTGCCCACTAATTCGTAGTGATAGTCAACGGTTTATCTTATGTTGGGCTTCACAAAAATACTTACCAAAAAACACACACAGAAAGGGTAACATGATATTCCAGGAAATCTGGTTAAACAGGGTTTGAATGTTTACTTGTAACATGACAACATATATAGACAGCATATGACTTGACCAGTTGCACCATGAAGGCTAGAGAAAAACATTTAACTAATATACTGTCCAACACATTTCCTCCCATGGATCAAAGATATTACTCCGGCAGACATGTGCACCGAGAATTATTATAGAAAGTCGTAAACCCATTCAAAGTATAACTTGTACTATCATGATGGATGATTTATAATGCTACTAATATATCATAAAAGTACCAACCAGCTGTATATACATCCTCATCTTCAATATCAAGCTCTTCAAGTGCCCCAATGCCAAAACCAGTAGCAACCCTTCCTGCTGATAAATTTAAGCCAACAAGTCAATTAAACCTCAACTTCAAGATAAGAAATCCATGGAATAACACAAACGCAATTAAGGAAAAGTGAAGGTAGATATTGAAAAAAAACACCATATGTAGAATAGATTATACAAGAATAGATCTTACATTTGACACCAAGAAGACTATCTTTCATTGAGATAGGTTTTTTATGGGCCAGCTCCCTATTCCCGGATAAGCGTGACCTTTTCTTTTCTGCATATTAAATATACTGTTAAGAAGTCTTACAGTTTCCAGCTACAAAATTGTAAACAGTTAGTTTATTTTAAGAAACTACATACCCCTAAATTCAGGAGCATGCTTGTAAGGATCATAGCCCAAACCATACATGTCCTGCTTTGGATTGATTACGTAAACCTGGAGAAAAGCAGAAAGACACGGCTTCTTCCTCAAACATCAAAATAAACCATTCTAAAGATTGATTTAGAGCTATGCATAATCAAATGGATAGCTAAAAAGAAAGAATGCAACTGTTCAGTATAATGTTGCAGTTCAGAATCAGAAAACTGTTTACCTTCTTTTATATATTTCTGTTTCTCACGTTGGGAAGCAAGTATGTGATCATGTTTGAGCTCCAACAGGGACCTGACCTAAGTTTGTAGTACAACCTCCAACAGGATTTAGCAGCTGAGACACTTACAACCTTGGTAGAGAACAGTGGCAGCAGCCTTTTAAAGTATATAAAAGGCGTGGCAAGGAGGGTTCTAAGGCTCAAACCTTAATTTGGCACATGCTAGATAATGGGGGGTCCACTTGGAGTCTTGCATGATTAGGGGGTTTGGTAAAATTTCATTATTTTGGTAATTGCATCAATTAAGTTATTTGTTACTTTATTAAGTTAGAGCCAACTTTTGATTACCTTGTTTTGGTAAATTGCATAATTAGATTAAATTGCATCAATTAAGTTATTTGTTACTTTATTAAGTTAGAGTCAACTTTTGATTACCTCCATTGTAGGGTAGTCCAAGGGTCATCTTTTATTATAAAAACGATACTATGTAACTCTGAATACTTAGCGAATGATTGAATAAAATTATCCTTTGAGATTTCTTTGTGAATGATTCACAAATTCTGAGGGTGTGAGGCCTTCTCTAGGTGTGATACCTAGGTCCTATTGGAGTGATTCCAATAGGCTTTTCTTTATTATTTTCAATTCTTCTTTTCTACTAACAACCCCTGAATCCTAGCTTTGTTTCTGAATTTCCAGCCCATAACTCTTATTTACTTTCTTCTATTTGAGCCTGTCCTTTGTCCTACATCAGTTTTGGTATCAGAGCTTGAGTTGACATCATGTCGACAAAATCAGTAACAACGCAGCCGAATGGTGGAAATGCTGGATCAAAACTGCCTTTTCTAACATGGCTGATCCTAAAGGGAAGAGTATTGTGGCCAACAAAGGAAGTGGAAGGAGTAACAAGTGCTTCAAATGTGGAGAAACATGTCACATGGCATACCAATGTCCAAAGAAAAATTTACACATTGGGATAATGCCTGAAGAACATGGGGAAGAGGACAATGGGAACTTGTTTGACTATGGGATCGACAACCTTGATGATCTAGAAGAGGATGAAGATGTTCCATCAATCTCCATTGTGAGGCACATCCTTGCAGCCCCTAAAGTTGAAGATGAAGATTGGCGACACACATCTATTTTTCAAATGCTAGTTCGTTGTGGGAATCAAGCTCGAAAGGTCATTATCGATGGCGGAAGTTGCATGAATGTTGTGTCTGTAGCCACGGTTGAGCACCTCAAGCTTTCAATCCAACCATATCCAAAACCATTCAAAGTGGCGTGGATAGATAGTACTTCTATTCCGGTAACTCAACGTAGTCTCGTTTCTTTCTCTTGTGGAGCTTATAATGATTCTGTTTGGTGTGATGTAATTCCCACGAAAGTGACACATATTCTTCTTGGGCGGCCTTGGATTTATGATCGAGATGTGTATCATTGTGGGAAGGAGAATACATACACTTTCTTGTTTAAAAACAAGCAAATTATTTTGAAGCCTATGTCCTCAGCTGAAATGGAGAAATATAAAGGTGGACTGGCTGTAGATGATGCAAAAAGCAAGAAAATGTCCCTCGATCTCCTTTCCAAAAAGAGGTTTCAATTGGAAAGTAAAGAGATGAGTGTTGTATATGCTGTTGTAGCAAGGGAAATCAAAGAAACTGCTGCTGTTCATGATTCTTCAATGCCATCAAAGGTCGCCAATTTGCTGTCAGATTTCTCAGATTTATCTCCCGAAGATCTCCCTAATGAACTCCCTCCTCTACGTAATATCCAGCATGTGATTGACTTTGTACCGGGGTCTCCATTGCCTAACCTTCCAGCTTATCATTTGAATCCAAGCGAGCATGCCGAGCATCTGAGGCACGTTAATGAGCTGCTGTCCAAAGGATTTATTCGGGAAAGCTTAGGTCCTTGTGCTGTCCCAGCTTTGCCCACACCAAAGAAGGATGGTAGTTGGCGCATGTGTATTGACAGTCGCGCCATCAACAAGATTACAATCAAGTATCGGTTTCCTACTCCTCGAATCGATGATTTGCTAGACAAGGTAGCTGGTTCTTGTATATTTTCAAAGATAGATCTGAAAAGTGGCTACCATCAAATTCGCATAAGGCCCAAGGATGAATGGAAGACAGTTTTCAAGACACAAGATGGACTCTACGAGTTATGCCATTTGGTCTTTCCAATGCCCCTAGTACATTCATGCGCTTCATGACTCAGGTATTGCAGCCCTTTATTGGTCGTTTTCTGGTTGTTTACTTAGACGATATTTTAATCTACAGCAAAACAAGGGAGGAACATATTTCCCACCTTCAACAAGTTATGAGAGTTCTCCACCAAGAGAAGCTTTACATGAACTTGAAGAAGTGTTCCTTCATGTTGCCGGGTGTGGTGTTTTTGGGCTTTTTTGTTTCTTCCAAAGGGGTAGAAGCTGATCCTGATAAAGTGAAAGCGATTCTAGATTGGCCAATTCCCAGCACATTGCAGGAAGCACGGAGTTTTCATGGGCTAGCTTCATTCTATCGGCGATTTATTAGAAATTTCAGTACAATAATGGCCCCTATCACCAATTGTATGAAGAACAGCCAGTTTGTTTATACAAAGGCAGCAGCATAGGCTTTCGAAGAAGTGAAGAAAAGAATGACTGCAGCTCCTATTTTACGCCTTCCAGACTTCTCAAAAGTGTTTGAAGTTGCATGTGATGCTTCACAGGTTGGAATTGGAGGCGTGCTCAGTCAAGAAGGACATCCGGTTGCATATTTTAGTGATAAACTTAATGAAGCAAAGCAAAGGTATTCCACTTATGATGGAGAATTTTACGCTGTGATTCAAGCACTTCGCTACTGGCGTCATTACCTTCTTTTTAAGGAATTCGTTTTGTATTCTGACCACGAGACCCTCAAATATATTAACTGCCAAAGGAAGTTAAGCCACCGACATGGGAAGTGGGTTTCATTCTTGCAAGAGTACTCATTTGTCATCAAACATAAAGCTGGTGTTGAGAACAAGGCAGCCGATGCACTTAGCCGAGTTGTTCATATTCTTGCCTCCATGGCTGTTCAAGTTCTTGGTTTCGATATGCTAAAACGAGACTACTTATCTTGCACGGACTTTAGCATCATACATGCTGATTTGATAGCTGGACAGCAGGGTACATATCCTGATTATTCGGTACATGATGGTTATCTCTTCAAAGGAACTCAACTTTGCTTGCCTAAGACGTCACTTCGTGAACATGTGATATGGGAGTTGCATGCTGGTGTGGCAGCAGGTCATTTTGGAAGAGATAAGACCATTGCCCTGGTGGAAGATCATTTTTTTTGGCCAAGTTTGAAACGGGATGTGGCCAAAATTGTTGCTCGTTGTAGAACTTGTCAAATATCCAAGGGAAGAAAGAAAAATACAGGTTTATATACGCCGCTCCCAGTCCCTCATGAGCCGTGGCAAGATTTAAGCATGGACTTTGTTCTTGGGTTGCCTAAAACAAGTCAAAGTCATGATGCTATATTTGTTGTTGTGGATCGTTTTTCAAAAAAGGCACACTTCATTCCTTGTTCCAAGACATCCGATGCTGTCCACATTGCCAAGCTTTTCTTTCAAGAAGTTGTTCGGCTTCATGGATTGCCAAACACCATTGTTTCTGATCGACATACAAAATTTATGAGTTATTTTTGGTGCACATTATGGAAGATGCTGAATACAAGGCTGAAGTTTTCCTCTTCTTTTCACCCCCAAACTGACGGCCAAACTGAGGTTATTAATTGAAGCTTGGGTGATTTGCTTCGTTGTCTTGTTGGTGACCATATTAGTAGCTGGGACCAGATTCTTCCTATGGCTGAATTTGCCTACAACAGTTCTGTAAACAAATCCACATGGCGCAGCCCGTTTGAGATTGTGACAGGGTTATGTCCTCGGAAACCAATTGACTTAGTGCCTTTACCAATTGTGGCATGCCCTAGTGCTGAAGCTGATGCTTTTAGTAAGCATAGCAGAGACATCCATGCGGAAGTTCGAAGGAAGATTGCAATGAGCAATGAGACTTACAAAACACAAGCTGATTTGCAGAGGAAGTTTGCTGAATTTGAGGAAGGAGATATGGTCATGGTGCGAATAAGACTGGAATGATATCCTAAAGGTGCTTATAAGAAGCTTCACACAAAGAGTGTTGGCCCATACAAAGTTCTCAAGAAAATTAGCTCCAATGCTTATGTTCTTGACCTACCAGAAGAGATGGGTATCAGTAAAGCCCTCAACATCGAAGATCTCACCTTGCATTCAGGCCATTTTGCTGATCCATTTCTTGCTGATCCTATCACTCGCCTTCCCTTAGCCCCACGGGTAAAGGAGGAAATAGAAGATGTTGATCACCAACTTGTTTCAACAAGAGCTGGCGGTTATCAAAAATTCCTTCCTCGTTAAGTGAAAAGGACGACCACTTTCTGATTGTACATGGATTAGCGACAGTGAGTTCCAACATCTAGCTCCAGACCTCTATGAACAATTTCATGCATTTACCTCGCCGGGAAGAATTGGTAGAGAACAGTGGCCGCAGCCTTTTAAAGTATATAAAAGGCGTGGCAAGGAGGGTTCTAAGGCTCAAACCTTAATTTGGCACATGCTAGATGATGGGGGGTCCACTTGGAGTCTTGCATAATTAGGGGGTTTGGTAAAATTTCATTATTTTGGTAATTGCATCAATTAAGTTAATTGTTGCTTTATTAAGTTAGAGTCAACTTTTGATTACCTTGTTTTGGTAAATTGCATAATTAGATTAAATTGCATCAATTAAGTTATTTTTACTTTATTAAGTTAAAGTCAACTTTTGATTACCTTGTTTTGGTAAATTGCATAATTAGATTAAATTTCATCAATTAAGTTATTTGTTACTTTATTAAGTTAAAGTCAACTTTTGATTACCTCCATTGTAAAGTAATCCAAGGGTCATCTTTTATTATAAAAAGGATACTATGTAACTCTGAATACTCAGCGAATGATTGAATAAAATTAACCTTTGAGATTTCTTTGCAAGTGATTCACAAATTCTGAGGGTGTGAGGCCTTCTCTAGGTGTGATACCTAGGTCCTATTGGAGTGATTCCAATTGGCTTTTCTTTGTTATTTTCTAGGAAGCACGGACACTCCAAAATGGGCGAAGAATCCGTGTCCGACACGTGTCGGACACGGACACGCGTCGGACACGCCCCGACACGTGTCAGACACGCCAAAAAACGTGTTTGAAATTTTTTTATTTTTTTTAATTTTTTGACACAGCTCGGACATGGCTCAGACAGTTCGGACACGGCTCGGACACGACTCAGACAGCTCGGACACACTTTTCTGGAATTTTTTTTTTTTTTTAATTTTTAATGCTGATATGTTCAATTTTTTGTTTTGTACTACCCTAAAGATGCTGATATATATATATATATACTAACCTAAAGATGCCACAATTCGCCGTGTCCGTGTCCTAAAGATGCTGATATATATATATACTAACATATCAGTGATATATATATATATATATATATATTCCAACCTAAACATATCAGTGTTTTTTTAAAAAAATTATTAATGCTGATATATATATATATATACACTATTTGCCGTGTCCGTGTCCTAATTTTTTTGGATTTGCCGTGTCGCCGTGTCCGTGTCGTGTCATGTCTGTGTCCCGTATCCGTGTCCGTGCTTCTTAGGTTATTTTCAATCCTTCTTTTCTACTAACAACCCCTGAATCCTAGCTTTGTTTCTGAATTTCCAGCCCATAACTCTTATTTACTTTCTTCTATTTGAGCCTATCCTTTGTCCTACATCAAACCTCCAACAAGATTTGGCAGCTGAGACACATCCACACCCTTTCCATCCTCAACACTACAGATTATACTTTCATACATCATCATTATAATATCATTGGCATAGAAAGGGATGAGGTGTAGATTGTGCTTGTTCATTTCATTATTAGGTGGAGAAAACCCAGTGATAAAGAAAGAGGGCAAGAAAAAGTAGTAACTACAGATAGAACTAAAGTTTACGGGAGTAGAGTTAGTAAGGAAAGATATAATAGCATGTGGATTGATTGAGGGCCTGAGGCTGTGGCCTTAAATAGAGCGGAATGGAAACATAGGATTCATGTATTCCACCCCGAGTAGTTGGGGAATGGAATGGAAACATATGTTTTTTATAAATATATTTTACATAACATTGTAAATGGATATAGTTAAATTAAATTTAGGGTAAATTACACTGACACCTCCTAAAGTTTGCCTTAATTACACTTGGCTACTATGTTTGGGAAAACCTACACTCACACCCCTATCAGAGTTTGCATCACAACCAACGTTAAAATTTCGTGTGCAATTTCATAGCTGCCATTCATCATATTACATTTTTTTTCCTGAATGTAAAATGACCATACTACCCCTACCAATTAACCCAAAAAATAACAAGTGTGGATCACAGTCAAAACCCTCTCTCCCCCCCTCCCCACCTTCACAGTTTCGCCGACTTTCCCTCCAACCATGATTCCAACCACTCCTCCATGCATTCCAACACCCTCATTCAAACCCAATGGTACCGCCGCCGTCACCCCGCCGCCATCAATGGCACCTGCATCCCACCAGCTGCCAGATCCCAACTCTACAACCTCACCCACCACCCTTAACCCAACCATCACCGCGGCCCTCCTCATTATCCCTCTCCTTGCCACAACCCAGTTGAAGCCCATAACCAGACAAAGCTCCCACTCTAATCACATCAGTAAATATTTCCCTAAGAAAAGAAACCAAATGCGAAGGAAACAACACTGAAGAACAAGCAATGGATGTCATGACAAAGATCGATGGCAATTTAGCGTCAGCGAAAGACTCGACGACTAGTTAACAGGAGGGTGATGGCAGTTATCATGATGTAGGACAAGGGAGCAGCCTTAAATAGCTAAGAACTCAAAGAATTCAGATTCTGAAAATTTTAACAACTAGGGCTGAAATTTGGAGGTTCGATAGTAGAAATGTAGAAAAACAGAGGAGAAGTAGCTGGAAATTCAAATAAACAGATTGGTAGAGAGAAAGGATTGAAACGATTACTCAGTCAAGGAATGAATAAAAATATCCTTTGTGGCTTCTTTGTGAGTGATTCACAAATTCTAAGGGTGTGAGGCTTTCTCTAGGTGTGATACCTAGGCCCTGTCGGAGTGATTCCAATACGTTTTTTCTTGTTTTCAATCCTTTCGCTCTACCAATTTGTTTATTTGAATTTCCAGCCACTGCTCCTCTGTTTTTCTACATTTCTACCATCGAACCTCCAAACCTCTACTTGCTGCCACTGTTCTCTACCATATCATGTGCTAAACCCCAAGGTGTGTTTGTTTGGGTTTTCGTAAAAATGGCATCTAAGTACAACAAGGGCACCTTAGGGGTTGTCAATGTAATTTAACCCTAAAATATATTACAAATGGTGTACAGGAAAAAATGGATTTTTATCTCTCCTTATTTTAGAAATAGCAAAGTCTTGCAGTATCAAGTTCAAGCTTCTTCTATTATCACATGCATAGGATGTCTGATATGGATTCGTGTGTAGGACACACCCCATGTCCATCCTCATGTCATGTCATGTCATGTTGAACTGATACCTTGAGGGAAGAAGGGAGTTCATGTGACAGCCCTCAACAACAAAGATAAACAAGATTGTTATAACAATGCATTAAGAAGGTTCAGTGGTCACAGCAAGTAAGATTCCAAGAATTAGCATTATCACAATATCAATAAGCCCCGGAAAAACTTTCTACCGGTTGATACACAGTGATACAGGAAACTAATTTATAAAAACAAAAACACAAAGATAAATAAAAACTGAACCAAATCATTTACCAAATGATCGATGGGATAATTAAGAATTTACAACATAAAAATGATTAGGTATTCACCACATGCACCATTGCACTGGTCTATAATAATCTGACGTGCTTGTAGAAGTTAGAGATCAATTTTTTTAAACGTGACATGTTCATAACTAATTAAAAGAACAATACTAACATATATATTTATCCTTAGTATGAAAAGGTCTTTTCCTCGACTCAATTTGAGGGAGAATCTTACTTATCAAAAAAAAATTTGAGGGGAATCTTGCAGAGAAACGACTGTATAATTTTATCAGAAACATGTTGAGCAACACTAGAATGTATTTTCACGTTAAGTATCCATTATTTATCAACTACATATGTATTGGGATTGATCAAACATAAACATCAGCAACATTCATGTGTCAAGCTATATTTTATTTTATTTTTTACGAAAAGGAACTGCAATGGTATTGTTAATACTGCAAACAATAGTCCTTGTTTGTTACTTATAGTACCAGAATAAAAATTTGAATTAGTCCATGCCAATAATATCGGATAACAAGTTTCATAATCAGCTTAACTGAAACCACAATAGCAAACAATATATCATACCGTCAATTAACTGCCAGCACTAATTATACAATTATGGTAAAACAGCAAGTAGCTGAACATATGAATTTGGGTTAACAATAATTACAATGTGATCTTTCAACGGCCAAAATAGATCATTTTCTATGACCTTGTAATTCATTGGAAACTCAAATTGTAGCTATATCATGAAACAGTATGGCAAAGGTCCAGAAAAAAATTGTTCAATGCATGCTGTGGCACCTCACATGTCCATGAACTTAAAGAACACTCAAAAATTTAGGAAAAGGTTCGTTTTGTACCCAAAAAGAAAGTGAAAATATTAGAACTAAATTTTTTGAACACGCCATCTTAATTTGAGAAAATGATGTTTAAACAGTAATCATGTAGAGGTATGTAATTTAATTTATGGAGGAATCAAAGCCAAATGAGGCAACAAAATTTACTCATTCAATCAATAGAATTGATAAATCTGCTCACCGGTGTACTCTGAGAAACCTGATTAACACCATCAGTGGGTAGCTCCATAACATTTTCAAGATCAACCTTAGCAACCTCAGGATGCGTAAGCTGGTTGGTTGTATCATCAGAAGAAAATGCCAGAAAAGCTTTTCTAGCTTCTCTGCGAGCATCTGGATTAAAACAACAAAAATAAGATGTGTTACAACAAAATTGAATTAATCTAATTAAATAAAACTCATCAAAGCAAAGTTTGATAACAAAAAAATATATATATTTTAACAAACTTCAAGGTAAATAATGTTTTAAGGAAAATACATGCCATCGTTAGATTAAAAATTACAAAGAAAAAGAACAAAAAGAAAAGAAAAAAGAGGAAAAAAGAAGGTCTTGCTCCCAGAAAGGAAACCCGAAAATCTTCTAGAAATCTGCAAATATATATATATATATATATATATATATATATATATATATATAGCTGGGAATGCCTTAAAATCATTGAGAAACACGTGATACATGTTTTAGAATCATATAACAATGTTCATCTTAAACTGGAATAGAACACCAAAATTACAGGAAATTGCCAATAATTCTTGCAAGTCTTTCTCCAATACCAAACATAAATAACCATCTTCCTCAAAATCATATAAAATTGTTGCAATCTTAAACTGGAATCGACTCCAAAATTGATGGGAAAATTCCTATAATTCTTTGAAGTCTTTTTCATTTCCCAATAGTCCAATACGAAACATAATCATAACCATCTTCTTCAAGTTTTGGTAGTTCTTCTCCCCAAGGTTTTTACTTAAAGTTTTTACACGTATATTCAGTTCCTATTTGTCTTGGCAAAGTTTCTCATCAGAATTCCCTCTAGTTTTCCTATGCAATCTCAAATCATTTCCCCTTAATTCAACCGATTCTCTTTAGAGCCTTGTTTCCTGTTTCCAATGCCAACCGTATGCATGCAGGCCATTCATCACGGGAAGAAACTATACAAGCAACTTTATTCAAAATGCATCATATCAAGAACAATTCGGGAGAGCGCATAAATATCTCCAAAATGGGCTCCACTTCAATGACTTCAAATCATCTCACAGCTTGAGTCCAAAACTTTTTCCTGATACTCCTTTAAGATATGCTGAAGACAAGCATATAGATTTTTTCCAAGGTACAAAACTAATAGCGTTTGAAACATTCTTTAAAATCCCACTATTCATGTGAAAAATTGGCCATGGAACCTAGGAAACCCAAAATTGCTTTCGGGGAAAGAAAAAAAAAAAAAGGTCCTACCGCTCACATGGTACAGAATGATATGACTAAAATAACATTAAATTTCTAATTGTTTTTCCCGATTGACACTGTATCCTGTGGTTTCACACAGAAACATCATGTATCCATTTGTGTGCCCTATACTCCAAATTTATCATCTTGTGCAAATGAAGAGAGGAAATCCAGGGATGTTGTGCCATGATCCACGGAATATAGTGTTTCAACACCATAAGACCTCAACCTACTCGCCCAAAAGCTATCCCAACCTCACACCCACCTTCCAATTCATCCTCTTGGTACTCCTCCCACACAAGAAGATTAATCAGAATTTTTAAATTGTTATCTATCAATAGATCATTGATGAATGTCGATCTAGCATAACTCAAATGCTGATTTACAACATTTACTTCATTTTCTAGGAACCAGGCTCGTACAAGGGACTCCATGAGAAAACATCAATCTACCCTCTTCTTCTTGAATGTCCACCGTATTTCCATAAGAATGCCTCAGTATTGAGATCTGGATCACCCAAGATACTAACCCCATCTTTTGGATCAGGTGAAGAAGAAAAGATGCCTATAGATGTATGGTAGAACAACATACATAAAAAAAGGGATATGGAATGCAGATGAATTACCAGATGGTTCTAAATTGGTAGGAAGAACATACCATACAATGAATTAGGGTGTGAATCCCTTATTGAATGACCATGCCGCCATCCCATTTTCAGCAGCAACTTTACACCTGATCAGCAATAGCATGAAGTGTTGAGAGATGCAATAACCACAAATGGAACCAAGATATAGTTTTCACAGTAAAAATGAAGCGAACCAATAGAATCAGTGGCTGGAAGAACAATTTCATCTGGAGCAGGTCCAGGAATAGCTGACGGTCTGCAATACATGAAAGACAAGCCTAAGATATTTTGATGACCCTGCCCGCAAGAAATGAAAACAAAACACAAGGAAAAAAGAAAAAAAAAAAAAAAATTGCGCACACACAAACAAAGAGGAAAAAAAAAAAAAAAAAAACTAGATTCCAGAACAACATAGCACATACGATAAAGTATTATACTTGATGCAGAACATTTAAAAAGGAATCAAGGCTATAATTGACATAGAACATTCATATTCAAAATGCAAAGTTACAACTGAATACTAAAACAAAAAAGTGGAGGAAAATTCAACAACTAGTTATAAAGGCCAGAAATATGTCGTTGTTTCGGTACCCAAAGTAAATTCAAAAACAAATTCACTGGAACAGTAATAATAATGATAAGAAAATTATTCAAATTTCCAGGTGAAAAGTAATTGAAGCATTACTTATGACTTTAAGAGAATGGTGTATTAAAACAGGTACAAACCCCCTTCCCACAAAATAATAATAATATATGCTCAGAATGTCACGGACTTCAAATTCAAATAAAAAGTTAAAGGGTGAAGAAATATTAAAAGGAAAAGAGGAAAGGAGGAACTGAATGTAGAGAACCCAAAATGCACTACAGTTTGTAATATCTAACAACTTCATCACAACCAATTGGAAATGATTCAACAGTTAGGCCAATGGTTTTCTGAGCAATGTAATTGGCATAAAGCATTGGTAAAAGTACTCAACTCCTACTTGTATAATGCCATTACTTATCACAATATCAAGAAATGTGAATGATGAGCACATGAAAAAACCTCTGTTGCTGTTCCTTCTCAGCTTGTTTGCGAGCAAGTTCGGCAGCTGTGAATCCAAATGTATCAAACTGCATAGATGTCCCCAAGGAGCGGCCTTCCATTTCCTAAATGTGAAAAGGCCAATTAAAACACTTGAATGGCTGTCTACTAGATTAGCAGTATTAAACAATATAAATTCCATAAATTTGAATTAACTGCATTCAGTAGATTAAATGTCAAGCGTATGACAATTATTAAGACCCAACAACCGCATCCTATGTGATCTACAAAAAAAATTCAGTCTATTGTTTTTGGTGGGAAGAAATTATGCCGAACGGATGTATCAAGGTGTAATTCAAGTCCTTGCTTTTTTTGTGATTTGGGGACTGATAATCACAATGAAGGTCTAGCCAGTGTTACATCTGAGCAGATTTATATCCACACTAGTAAGATTATTAGTTAAAAATGCCCTGTTAACCAGTTCTATATCACAGTACATTCGAGGAGAAAATGCCCTGTTAGCCAGTTCTCTACAAGTACTGAAAGTTCGTAGGGCTTGAGGGCAGACGGAAGGTCTTAGAATCTTAAACCGCACAATTGATTGTAACTTTCTGAAATTCTAAGACACATATAAAAATATATATATATTCAATAAACTCAGATTTATTACAGTTGAATTCCTGTTTGAATAAAAGCATAGCACCAAAAATAGTACCAGCTGAATCAAACAATGGACTTCTAAAAAACAACCTTAGGAAGCAAGACTGATTGATGGCAAGCATGCATAATATAGTGAGATTAAAAAAAAAATTACAAGCACATGTTCTTGTGGAGTGTATTGTGTGTGTGAGAGAGAGAGAGATTTGAAGGTTAAAGGGTCAGTTTAAATTTTTTAACTTTAAACTCGATCCAATCAAACTATAATTTAGCTTTAAAATGATAGCAACTTACCTAGCAAAAATTATTTCCAAGTTCCCAATATCTTCAAGATTATTCCAGAATTCACAATAGTTTTCTTTAATTTAAACTATAAATTCATGTAACTTCTAAATTTAAAGGAGGCATATGATAGAGTGCCAATGGACATTAAAAAAAAAAATTCCTAAAAAAAATTAAAAATTCCTTAGGCAACATATTATTAACAAACAAACAAGCAGAAAGGATGTAGGACCCCAAGGGACATAATTTGGTGGACTCTACAAAGAAAACAAGTACTTTTTTTTTTTGTTTGATAAGTAAAAGTCGATTAGAAAAGCGTTCAAAAGGGGAACGCGTCCCTAATACAAAAAACAAAGGCTGAACCTAAGGACCAATAGAGTCCAAAAGATCAACTACGTCATCAGTCGAGGAGCAAGCGCTTCCTTTCACATAACAGAAAATAGAACGAAGAATATGAATTTTCAAGGTCGCGAAAGACAATTCCTTTCCTTCAAAGTTTCTGCTATTCCTCTCTCTCTCCATAAACACCACCAAACACAGTGTAGAACTATCCTCCAATAGTCACGAGCGTGACTTCTCACTGGACATCTTCTCCACGCATTAATCAGTCCTTTGGAAGACTGAGGCATTACCCAGTGTACGCCAAAAATGCCGAAGATAAGGTTCCAACAATCATACGCCACAAGATAGTGCATAAGAATGTGATCCACAAAGAAAACAATTATAAAACTTAAAAATCTTATTCAAGACATGTATAGTTAGACACTGACTTGAGTTAACACTACATGCGGGGAAACTAGTGACTTCCCTGTAAGGTGGGGACTACACCAAGGATCGATGTTGAGTCCATACCTAATTGTGATAATATTAGACGAAATAACGAAAGATATTCAAGAAAGCATCCCATGGTGTAATCAGGACTAATAGATACCTCAAAGCGTTAGCAACAAAATTAGAAACATGGAGGAAAGCATTAGAGTCAAGGGGCCTAAGAATTAATAAAACTACAAACGGAATATATGACATGTAAATTTGATAAGGTAGAAAAAGATGACAATACAAATATTACACTACCAGACCAAATAATTACTCACAAAAACTATTTCCGTTACCTAGGTAGGATCAATACTACAAAAAGATGGGGAGATAGACGGTGATGTAGGCCCTGTTTGGCAAGCCTGCTTCATGTTTTTTGCTTCGGATAATGTATTGTAGCGAAGCAAAACATGGAAGTGTGTTTGGTAATGTTTGTTGTGATTTTAATAGTACGAAACCCCCCCCCCCCCCCCCCCAAAAAAAATAAAAAATAAAAACCCTAAACAACCTTTTTAACTAGCCATTTTATTTTTCAAAGTGCCAAACATGCTTATGAATAGTATTGAACACACTGAAAGCAAAAACATTGCTTATGAATAGTATTAAGGATCTTTGCTGGGTTACTTATCAAAAAAATTAAGGATCTTTGCTGGGTTGCTGAATTCTTGCCTTCTTTCTGGCTTTTATCTGTTATCTTTTTGTTAGGAGTTTATGTTTGTATTGTTTGCTGGTTTATTTTGATTTGGTTGGTCTGGGGCTATCATGACGTCATTAAATCCCGGTTTTGTAATTGGTTTTGCCTTTGTTGGTTTTATTAATGAATTCTAAATGCTTACCTCTCAAAAAAAGAAAAGAAAAAATGTTGCTTCTGTTTTGGGTCAACACAAAAGCGCAAAGCAAAAGCGGTTGCCAAACAGAACCGTAGTCAGTCGGATTGGAGTTGGGTGGACAAAATGGAGGCAAGTTAGTGGTATCCCTTGTGACAAACATATACTAAATAAACTAAAAGGAAAATTCTATAGAACGGTTATTAGGCTGGCAATATTGTATGGAGTGGAATTTTGAGAGCTGAGAAAGGCGCAAATACATCCATGTAGCGGAAATGAGGTGATAGGAATCACTAAATGAGATGAGATAAATAACGAACGTATGAGGGAAACATTAGATATGGCACCTATAAATGATAAAATTAGGATGTAAACTTTAGTGGTATGGTCATAGTCAAAGTAGGCCCAATGATGAACCTATAAAAAGAGGAAGAGTTATTTGCGTAGAAGGTAAGCGACAAAGAGGCCGACCAAAACTCACATGGGATGAAGTAATTAAAAACGACTTGAAAAGTCTAAATTTAAGAGTATAGTCTATAATAGGAAAGAATGGAAAAAGATAACTCATGAGGCTGACCCATCTCTATGGGATAAAGACAAGGATGATGATGGTTATGAACTTCTAAATTTATTGTTTTTACAATTTTATCTTCTAATCACAAAATATTTAAGGAAAGGAGCTCTGGCATACATTTATGCTTCCTACTGTGATTTATACAAATTCTTAATTTCCCAAACTATCTTGATCTTTTTTTTCCTCTTAGAGTTAGGTTAAATGAAAGATGTGTTCATGCTTCAACTTCAAGCTTAGGAGGGGAAAAGTAAAATTGAAAAATAACCACATATTCGATAATATGACCACAAAACATGCCACACCTCAGACAAGTTTTCCCTCAAACGAAAATTGATTGACATCACTTCACCATTTCTCGAAAAAATATATATAATTGAGAAAATAGAGCAGGGTCTTAGCTGAAGAAAATGACTTAGAATCAAAATTATTGTGTGCATAAAATTGAATATTACATTTCAAAGAACGAAGACAGATACAGTTATATAAAAAAAGGAAGACAATATAACAGAACATACCTCTTTCTCATCATCATCCAAGAAGTTAATAATATTTTGTTGCTTAACTTCAGCTCTATTCTTCCTGGATGACGTAAATGATTGTGGAGTCCATCCTGCAAGTAATTTCACACATGTTAGTGAAAATGACACCAACAAGAAATTCAGAGCAATATGAAGTAGCCTAATTCTAAGGTGCACTGAAAATATACCCTCTTTAGTCCCAACAGTATTATAGTAACCAGCAGAATAACCTCCTGTAAATGCTCCATGGAATCTTCTTCTCCCTTCTTCATCTCTGACCTGAAAATTACAAAAACTTAACATGGCTAACATCTGATTCGCAACACACAAAGACACTTAAATTAAGAATATTGTTAATCCATTGTTTAATCTAAAAATACATTCATGTTGGCATATGCAGTCTTTACCACCATGTACTGCCACTATCCCTTGTAAATTTATAAGCATAATCTGATGGACCAGCATTACAAATTTGATTCACAATAAGGGTGTCTTTAATATCCCATGGAAACAAAATGGCTCCACTGCGGTTTACACAGCATTTGAAGGTAAGAACCCATCCCCCAAAATTAGTTGGAACTTTCAAATGCTTCCCATGACCACCTAAAATCCCATTAATACCAAAATAAACAACAAAACAATTTGATCGAAACCCTCAATAACAAATGAAGGTAAGCCTTCAATTGCAAAGTAAAACCATGATCAAATAATAGCATAAATTTAAAAATAAAATTGCTAGAGAGGAATAAATTAAACGCTATAAGAGAAATTAAGGTAAGCCTTCAATCAATTATAGTAGTTCACAACTTTCCTTGAACTTAACTGATCATTACCATATAATTCTCCGTTATTTGCTTATAACATGTCCGGAAGCAGAAAAAAATTAGGGTTCTGAATTATATGTGCATCCAATACTTGGAACAATTATCACGCTCAATTGAACCTAATACAACTATACATGTTTCATTCTCAAATATGTAGAAGTACACATACACCAGATAGATATAGATATATATATATATATATAAGAAATACCTCTTGTTTCCAAGATGGAAGGGTTCGCAATTGACCGGTAGCCTCAGCGAGGGCTTTCTTCTTGCGGCTGGAGTTGTCTTCTTCTCGCTCAATCGGCTTCCCGAAGAACACGAAATCTTCTTCGTCACTGCCCATTTTCTATAGATGAATTCGAAACCACTGTTATCAACCTTGACCGGTGATTAGAGGATTGACCTTACACTTCCAAGGGTATTATTAGTAGTGTTATCTGTCTGTCGGAGAGAACTCTCTAGCAAAGGGAAAATTAAGTGGGGAAAGGAAAGGGGAGAGCTTTCAGGCGTTGTTTGGTTTGGCAGAAAATCTTGAAAATTCATGAAATAGAAAGGGAGAAAATTTCGAAATTTAACAGTTTCAAAATCAAGAAAAAATATATATATTTTATTTATTATAATTTTATATTTTATATTTATTATAAAAAATATATATTGTATTTATTATCAATAGGTCGCGAGGATGACTTAAAAATGAGGATGTGTTTGAATTTAAAGTCTGTCTAGAACTTTTAGATTATGGATTAATAGAGCACAAAGATATGCCTCCATTTGGTTAGTTAGAAATTACAATAAAATAAAATAAATAAAATAATTAGCAGAAAATAAAATGAAAGAAAATTATTTTCTATAGCTACTTAACTATCATATAAACTTTTAAAAAATAATAATTATAATATAATATTTTTTGAGAAAGTTTTATAAACTTTTAATAATTTCTTTTATGACAAGTTTTATGTTACTCAAACTATAAAATGACAATTTTTTATAATTTTTTTGAAAAAAATTCATGCTAAAAATATACACGATTAATTTATTTATAGTCCCAAATCGCATTTTAATCGGAAGTTGTGGACTGACAAGCGATATAGTTTTTTTAGCAATATACATTTTAGGGTAAAATACAACTGACACTTTCGTGAGATTTTTTATATTGACAGTCATATAGACGTTGACTATTTTAAATTTTTACTACATTTAACATTATATATTATAGGGCGAATTGCGAAAAACCCCCCTCGACTTTCACCTATTAACAAAAAAACCTCCTTTGTAAATTGTTTTCGCAAAAAATTCCCCTCAACTATCATGTGGAAGTATTTCAACTGATTTCTGTTTAAAGGGTTATGTTTTGGACAAAAATATCCCTTAAATAGTTCTAACAATTTTATTTATTTATTTTTATTTTTTTTTTTTCTAACCTCTCAATCTCCTCCATCCCACCATCGCCACCGTAACCCACCTCTGCCACTGCCACCACAATCCACCTCCATCCACTGTGAAACTAATGATGTGGTAACATACAGCCCCACAAATTAGGAATCAAATCAATTCACTTCAATAAAAACTAATAACCCAATGAAATTGCAAATTTGTGCAAAACATTTATTAATTACTTCAGGAATATATATATATATATATATATATATATATATATATATATATATATGAAAAGGTAATGCCTATGTAAAAGTGAACAAAGCTGCGAATGAGAGGCAGATAAAAAAGAGACAGAAAAAGCAAACACAACCAAAATCTAAAAACATGAAGAAACACAATTACACAACAATTTGACCAAATCACAAAAAAGGCTAAAGAAATTTAACAATTCAAAACAGTTGAGAAATTATGTTTATGGATATTGTTATTCCTTTCAAGAGCCCAATTTCCATTTTGGTGGTGGCGGTGGCGGTGAGTGGAGAGATATAGAAGGGTTGGATGGAGGTGGATTGTGGTGGCAGTGGCCGAGGTGGGTTGTGGTGGGGATGGTGGGATGGAGGAGATTGAGAGGTTAGAGAGATAATAGAAGGTAAATAAAAAAAAAAAAAAAAATTTGTTGAACTGTTTAAGGGGTATTTTCGTCCAAAATATAATTCCTTAAATAGACAGCAGTTAAAATACCCCACTCATGATAGTTGAGAGGGATTTTTTGCTAAAATAATTCATAAGGGGGTTTTTTGCTAACAGGTGAAAGTCGAGGGAGGTTTTTTTGCCATTCGCCCCATGTTATAACACTCGTCGTGAGGTTTTTTTCAGTTCTCTAAAAATAAAAAATTATTACACTGAACTAAACAAAACCTACGTCACTTAGGCTTCGTTTGGATGCGAAGGAGAGAAAATAAATGATAGGATAATATTAGTTACAAGAGAAAATAAACTAAAGGAAATGATAGCAATAATTTACCTTCATGTTTGAATTGATAGGAAATAAAATAAAGGAAATGCTAGTATTCTTGTTTGGATATGATAGATGAGGGAAAATAAAAGAAAGGATAGCAATCGAATTACTATCATACCCTCCATCTATAATTCTCAATGTAGATATCACCACCACCATCCACCCCTTTTTTCTCCGGCGAACCACCACCACCACCATCCACCCTACCGTTGTAAAATTTGTACTATGAGGGATCCAAGCCCCATTCTAGTCCGGGTTTGGGACACAGTCAATCCTCCTTGCTTCTCTCCGGCCATTCCTTGCTCCTATCAGCCTTGTCGTAGCCTCCGGCCACCATCTAAGTCTCACCGGTAAGTTCCTTCACCGCTATACCGAACTTATCATCATCATCCAAACACCTCTAAGTCCTCCACCTCCTCTGCAATAGCAGTTGCAAATCGCCGATTTGCAAAATTCCACATAAATTGGAAAGAATAATAATTTCAGCAATAAATAGAAAGAAACATTTTAGCGGTATTGGATTGAAATTAGAGGAGACGTCGCTGCTTTCTTTTCCGATCTAAACTTCAGATTTCTTCTGATGCATTACTCCGTACAAATACAATCTCTCTATGTATACACTCTCTCTCTTTATAATTTTGTGTTATGTCCTCTTTTCTTCTATATGTATCTTTTCCCTTTAGAATAGTATATTGTGGATTTGCAGTTTATCACATCGTTGAAATTGATACATCCTTCTCCTACGACGGTGGTTCTTCAAGTCAATGTTATAACACTGGAGTTTAATTCTGGCATTATGAAAGTATGACTAACCTACTTTCATTTTCCTTTAAATCTTCTCATTTTTTTATGGATACAATATGTGATACCACATTTTTTTTGTTTTTTGTGCATTGCGTATCTTATGTGTGGGGATACATGTTACGAGGGTTTATATGTGTTGGAATTTATATTTAAAATGCTAAAAGTTATATTTAAGTGCTAAAAATTATAAGAAGGTGCTAAGAATTATGTAAATGAATAAATTGTTCTATCTTGGTGTCATAATTGAATTCAACATATACAATTGTTTTAGTTATGTGATAGCATGCTATGTGTTCGTCAAAAAGTCTATGTGAAAGTCATTCATTCTTGCTAGCTGCTCATTTTGTTAGCATGTATTAACATAATCCCTTTATTATTACTCATATTGCATTGCATAGAGTATGTGTGTGGTGGAACACAAGTGCGAGTATTGAATTTTCGTAAGTTTATGGTGCTGATTTTCCTAAGTGTGTGGGAAATGGGATTGGTTCTGGTTGAAATAGGGTTGAAAATCTCAAAAATTGGCCAAGTGGGTGTCGTTACCGACAGATTAGTAACCCGTCAATCGAGGGTAGGGATATGGGAAAGTACTCCATACTCAGTTGTGAACCAATCCATGTTTTTATGTTAATTTTTGGATCACAATGTTGTGTTGTGTGTGTGAGTCCATGCAGGGGACTTCATGAAGTGTAGGTGTGCATTAGCATATGATTTGGATGGTGTTCCTAAAGTTACTTTATTTGAGTTATGTTGTAGTACCAACGTGCCAACGTTATTTTACTCTTTGGAATTTGTTGTAACTTGTAACTTATACATCTACTTTTACCTTTATCCTAAAAGCATGATCGCTTCTTATTTATTTCATTATGTGTTATGTGAGCATGACTTACGATATTATAGGAAGTGTTATTTAGGCACTCTTTACTGAGCAATTTTAAGCTCACTCGTTGACAAATTTTAGGTGAAGAACAAGTGGAAGGAAAGATTCATCAATCTCATCATTGAAGTTGCCATGTGAAGTTTGGAATCCGTTTTGTCTCATGCATACCGCTAGCATGACATAACTTTTGGTGTAAATTAATGTTATGCATGAAGTAATGTCTATATGTTTTTTGTTGTGAGCATGTAATTTAATGATATCTCTACGTTGCAAGAGAAACTTATATCACATTTGATGTAAGGCGAGTATGATATGTAACTAAGGTTATGATTATCAAACTTAGTGCTTGTAATTATATGAAGTGTGTACGATTTTGAAGCTCTAGCATAATGAATGGTGTTTTGAGGACTTGAAACAGGTTTTGGGATATTTTAGGTGACCACCATACTTGGGTTCAATTGGGAGCCTAAGGACTGAGTTTATTCTTTCTTTTTCATGGACCGAGTCCTACAAATTCGGGTCGTGACACAATATGAGGGATTTGGAGGGATCCTTCCCAATCCTTTATTTCCTCCTGAAATCCTCCCATCCAAACACAACAATCCTAATCATTTATTTTATTTTCTTTCCCTATCCCCCAAATACTCCCATCCAAACGAGGCCTTAACTATCACAATTCATAATATATATATATATATCCAGTATTATGAACCTGCACAACCTCTAAGACATAACAAAATTATATTGTCGATCACACATTCCTATGATTAGATGAAACTTATATTTCTCTCAACTACACAAGCATGATTTGAGCATGGATTCTCCAAATTTTTATTGGCATATACTTTCATCTCAGTGCAAATTAGTGCTCGAATCAATTTGAGTATATATATTCGAGGAAATTTTGTCACAAATAAGAATTACAAGAACTTTCACGCCGTTGGGCTGCATGTGGTTCGTACCAATACTGATCCTCGACTTCTCATCCAATTCGACATGTGATCATATTTCAATTTTAAATAAATTTTGCATCTATTATCGGTCTACTAAAGTGAAACCAATTTACCTCTCATGTAACTCAATAAAAGTGGATTAATTTAGAATTATTAATAACTTATTTTGTTAATCAAACAAATAAATTAACAATAGTCAACATTGTTTATTTTTCACTAGAAAAATAATATTTGCACGAATAAGTTAATTAGACTTGAAAAGACTATTCTCATATTCAAGTGGGACTCATGTTTATCACTTAATAAAATATATGTTTAGAATAAAAACCCTTCAATTAGTATTTTAGGTTTAACTTATCATAAAGAATAGGTAGTATTGTTCATTTCAATATAGTATGCAGGCTGAAACTAGTAATGAGCTAACTTGGGCTATAGCACACAGGTCCAATTGAAAAAAAAAAAAAACAAAAAAAAAAAGCAACAATAACAACAGTACTATTGTTCATATAAACTTATGTACTACTCTTCTTCTTTCTATTAGCCCAACCCATTCCAATCTATAGTATCTCTATAAATAAAAGGAGTTATAAAATTTACAAAGACCAAGCCTTAAATATAAACAAGTCCATGAATCATGGACATGCCCAATCACAAACGAAAGCATAATAAAACATAATATGGCCAACACAGCAAACCAAACACATTGTTAGTCTATGGAAGAAGATCTAGAATCTTGGTGTGTAAGGCACTAAGGCATAGGTGGATGGATATCATAGATTATTATTGTCAATCTAGTGAAATATTGATTTTTATTTTTGTAAAAAAAAAAAAAAAAGCCTTTGTTGATGACTTAATGCATGGTTTCTTGTTAAATTATGTAATTTACTATATAATGGATTAATAACTAGTCAGGGGCGAAGCACACATGTCTTACTTTATAATGTGAATTTATTGATAAAGAACATACACATCTTGCATTCTTGTAAGTGTTTGTTTTAATACTTGTATAAAACACACTTTAGTAAATTATTGACTGTAAAACACGTTAGAGTTTGGAAGTGTAAATGTGTTAGAAATTTGTAAATTATTGAGTTTAATTGAATGACTGATATATGACAATTCTGTATTTAGAGCATGCATGACACAAACAATCATTAGTTTAATTATTTTTAGCCCCTTGCTTTGTAATTCTGGCTCCACCCTGATAGCATGGACTAAGAACTATAAACTTCTCTATTAAGACTATTATTGGTTTAACAACTGCTGTTTAATTAACTATCACAAGGGGGCTAACTGTTGTTTAATTAACTATCGTCGCTAGGGGTTTGTGTGCTTGCGTGCGTGCGTGTGAGAGAGAGAGAGAGAGACCAAACTCCAAGCCATGTACTCTAATATTGACACTTCTATTTATTACACACAACATATATATATATATATATATATATATATATATATATATTAATTACAGCATTAGATACGCAAACTACAAATATTACATTTCGAAACAAAGGGTATAAATATCTATCTTGAAATGATCAGTACTCAAGGTAACACACATACACACATATATATATAGGATGAATTTGATAGGACTATCAAATATGTAGGCAACACTCCAGCTTTCCTTGTCACATTATCACAATCTCTTTCGCCGCTGTTTCACTACTTGTACCCTACAAGACCAACAAATTAAGCATCCTGTATTAGACTAATATACAAGGAACACAAATATAGTGCCCAAAATTTCATATCATGTCATTCAGATTTTGCAATTTTATTCAGTGTGACAGTGTCACAACAATAATTAAAAATACATATGAGCTAGCTTTATATTGATGCATGTATAGAGGTATATAAATACACACACGTGTGTGTGTATATATATATGTACCTTCTTCTTAGGCTTGTGAATCTTCTGCTCTGGCTTTGGAGACAGCTGGGGTGCATGGGTCTTGGGCATACAGACTCCAGCAGCAGCATTGGGTGCACACTTACCAATATTTCCGGAGAAGGGGGGCACTTTCTTGTCCTTCTCATGATGATCGGGTGTCTGTGCCTTCAATGATGACATTTTAAATTAACTTGAATATATATATATATCTATATATATCCTTACCTTGTTGTCCCCAATCACAATTTTCTTCTCAACGCCCTCTATTTGTAGCAAAGCTCCACACTGATCTTGCATCTATGGAATCAGAATTAAAAGTTACGTGAGAAGTAGTTATAGATAAAGCTGGCAAGTAAAGAACAGAATAATTGAAATGGAGAACACTTTGGACATTTTAGTGTTAGATTAGATGCTTTGCTTTGCTTTGCTCTGATTCCTTGCTTATAATGCTGAAGAGAGTTGTCTCCCATCACCCACTAATTAATTACGACGTCTTTTAAAAAAATATTTTTGTATTTGTGACCTTCAAGTCGAATAATTTTACTATTCCATCAAGACCCACCCTCGTTTCCACGTGAGGTTCTACAAAACAAAATTCAAACTGGATTTTAGTTTTTCACCATCAATAAGTAGTCCATTCTTTAGTAATTTTGATTACAACATTAAATATATAGAATAATAAAAAAGAATATTTTTAAGACGAAAGAAAAGAAAGAAAGTAATATTACATATTTAGAATGATATTTTCCAGTCACTTGCTTGGTAAATCACAGCTCTGAAACGGGTGTGCGTTTGAATACCCCACTAATAAAAATATATAGTATTTAAAATTTTGTTTAATTTTTTTGTAATTAATAATCCCCCCATTACTTGACTTTCCAAAAACTAAAAAATCCGAGCCCATTACTCGAACAGATCCACAAGAGGTTAAGGCTAAGCCCACTTTCAAATTAATTAAAATTGGATAAATGGGGATGGCCCACTTTCATCTTTTACGGTTGGCCTCTCTTAATTGGCAGAGAGACCGCCATCTCTCAGTAGCAATTCATCGAACACCTGTTTGAGGCCTTCATTCAAGACGAAAACCATATATATATATAAATCACACACACATATATAGATGTTATCGTTAATGTCCCCATACGCCTTCTTTGGACGTGGACACCACTTTCCAATCACCGTGCGAGTAGTCAGCGGGTCGCACATTAACAACACTAACGCGCTATTAAAGCGCGTCCAGAATCGTTGTTCAACGCGCTATAGACAAGTTTGCCCTAATCGCCTGCGAAACTCGATCTCTCTCTCCTCTCTCTGTAACTTTCGATCTTCTAATTCGAGTCGGATTCGGTTTGTCGACGATCGGTTGATTTTCAGATCCTCGTTTGAGTAGATTTTCAGATCCTCGTTTGAGTAGATTTTCAGTTCTTCTTCGTTATCTGCCAAAGAAGGTTTAGATTTGTAAGTCTCGTTTCATATCTCTCTACGTGTGTCTGCGTGTGAGTTTCGAGGCAGTTTGTTCGTTTTGGCTTAAACTTTAAGCGTTTGATATTCGTTTTGTTTTGAAGGTTGAGAAATGGAACCTATGGACATCGTCGGGAAGGCGAAAGAGGATGCTTCGCTTCCAAAAGGTTCGATTTTCTTTTCTGTTTTTTGAATTATATATTCATATTAATATATACACACACTCGCACACGCCTTTGTATTTGCTGTTAAATTATTTGTTTAATTTTTGGTTTAGCAGGTGATTTTTCTTTTTTCGTTCTTTGAGCAAGCATATTAAATTTGTAATAAAATGATAACAATGATTATTCTCATAACGCATAAAAGGAGATATTTCCGTGGCAGATTTATATATATTTTTTATGATTATTCTTATGTCTTCAACAGATTCTAAACCCTTGAAGCAATGATTTGTGTCCATTGTAAAGCACTTGCACCAAAAAAAAAAAAAATCAAAAAAAATCAAAAAAAAGTTTTTAGTTTTAATAGGAGAAGGATATGTATCTTTGGTACACTATTAAATGATTCGCAAATCTAGATGGGTAATACCAATTTATGTGCCAGATGTTTATTGATTCATATCTCTATTTGTTCTTTTAATACAAAATCTTGTGCTATTGAATCAGTTAGCATGATGTCTAGACAAAATTGGTCAATGAGGTATTGGAGTGTGGTTTGAGCACCAATTGCGTCCATATAGGAGAATTCGGAGAGTATGGTGGAGAAAGACTCTGAAACACATTCTGTCTAGCTGATGCAATATCACTTCATGGCCTTGTTAAAGAATAAAAGGGAAGAAAATAGAAAATTTTGACAGTTTGGTGTTGCAATATCTAGTTATTGTATTCATGAATTAATGTCTTGTGCCAGGTTGTCTGCAAGGCATACCACTTGACGTGTTTTCTTATTTAATTAAACTGGGCTACATTTCCTGCATTTCATAAACCTAATGTTAAAAATATTAAGGTGTTTTTAAGACGAATGATGCCAAGAGCAGGTAAGGGCGTGAGTGACATTTGTACATAATCCTGTAGGGGTCCCCAAATTCCACTGCTTAATTTATTAGTTCTAGCATATCATGTTACAGCATTTTGTGTTCTGGGATTGATGACTTACAAACTTAGTTGATTCATGCTCCTTATTTTTTTTTTCTGATTGAGCATCATATTGTCTAAGTTGGTTTTATTTGTTTGATTTGTTAATGCAACTTATATTTTATCACCAGCTACTATGACTAAGATAATCAAGGAGATGTTGCCTCCAGATGTTCGTGTTGCAAGAGATGCTCAAGATCTTTTAATCGAGTGTTGTGTAGGTGAGAAATTAATTATACAACTTTGTATCTGTTATTTAACATCATCCTTTATGTAATTTGCATTATTTAGTTAATTGTTATTATTCTATGGTTGTTAGTGGCGTTCAAATGTCTTCTGCAATGATGATTTGTGCAATGATTTCCTATTTGATGTTGCATAGAGGAATTAATTTTGTCTATTAATTTACTGCTTTTCCATTTGAGATTGATTGAAGTACTTGCTTTAGCAATGACCTTTCTTTTGTGTGTGTGTGTGTGTGTGTGTATCATGAATAGACATTATACTCAACTTGGTTAGCAGGAAAGAACATTGAAAAGAATGGAAGGTAGGGAGGATGAAGAGTTATGTTCAACTTAGTTATGGGCCTTTCTTTGTAGTGAGTTTGAGAAAAAATATCAGTTGGCCCCCCAACCCAAGTGACCAAGTGCATAGAGTATTTTAATGGCCCCCCAACCCCAAGCCTGTAAAATATTTCAACTTGGGCCCTTTAAAATCCGGTTGAAACAAGCCCAAATTTGAATAGAAAAATAAAGCCCATTATAATTAATTATTTCACCACATATGTTAATATGTACATATATCAAGAGCTATATTGCTAATAAAAATACTTACTAATTAACTTTTAAAATTTTAAGTACATAGAGCTAGTTCGGTCCCCCGAACAAAAGTTTCTGGGTCCTCCCCTAAGCTCATGGGTAGAATAAGTGATTCATAAGAATGGAGTGTCATTGAATTTAAATTAATAACTATAACATGGGCAGGCTAAATTTTTTATCTCTCTTGCGCACACATGATGAGTTTTTGTCTTCATGCATGAAATTGTGGTGGAGGAATCTGTGTCTCAAAGTTTGCAAGTTATTCTAGTTCTTAATTTGCTCTCAAGCTCAACTTCCTAGCTTGTTAACTAAATAAGCTGAAGTTGAATATTATTGTTCTCAGCTTTGTTAAGTCAGTTGGAGACAGTTAATGTGCTAAATCTTTCATCTCAGCTACTTCTAAACTTAAAAAAATAGGTACCACAGCAAAAGATGCCTTGCTATTGAAAGAAGTTTGCTGCTGTCTGGAAAGTTCCCAGTTGCCTGGAAAACGCTGTTGTTTTTCTCCAAACTACAATTTATGTTTTCTCTTACAATGTTGGTCTCGATATGTGCCAATGACGTACAGAATGTGTCTCGGCAGTCCCTTTTTTTTTTTTTCCCTTTATTTGATTTTATATATTTATTTATTGTGGGGGTGAGGGGCCTTGGTTGTCAACTCAATTGGATAGCAGAACTTTGGAAATCACGTTTGTGTTTTAAATTCACTTTTCCCCCTTATTCTGCATAATTGGCATATCATCCATCATGGAAGCACATCTAAACCAAATTATGGGGGTGGGCAAAGCTTGAGCCTGCTCTTTTCATCTCTTACTGTGAGCTTGAGCAGCGTTTGTCAAGATGGAGTGAGGTTAAAATCTGATGGAAAAAATGGTAGTCCAACTGTATTTATGACCTCCATTTAAACACATCCTCATGTTTTCTCATGATGCTTTAGTTTTAGCTTTTTTATAAATTTACAGTTTTGTTTTCTTTAAATTTTATCGTACTTTACCCAAAAAATTTAAAGAATATTTCCTTCATAGGCATAATTATTAAAACTTATGGAATAATAAGATGCCATGGTCTCCAAAGCTAAGTGCATGATGCAACATAAGGCGTGAACATTGGTGAATCAAGGTCCATGCGTGACAGAAATGTATATCAAATATAATTACAATTAGAAAATGTCAAGATATGCAACACAAATTAGTCAACGTTAAATTGAGAAAAAAATTTAGCATCTCAATTAATGGGTTAGCTAAATGAATGTATGCTTATATCTTTTTCAATTTGCATAAACATTTAATTTGTTTGATGTACAATTAACACATTCAAAATATGCCAAAAAAGCTCGTCCAAGTTTTTTTTTTTCTGCTAAATAGATTTTGGCATATTAAGATGAGATTTTGTCCTTTAAATATGTATCATATCAAATATAATTGCAAATGGCACTTATAAAAGGCTGCAATCATATAGATTTTAAACATATTTTATATTATCATATTCAATTTAAATCAAGCATTAGACACATTTGATGCAAGTAGTCTCCCATCAGCTCATGAATACCGAAAGTAATATATCTCTTAGAATTAATTAATATGATCTATAGACTGTAGATTCGTAGAATGATATAAAGCATATCATTAATGGCCATTAAAAGAAAAAAAAAAAGAGGGGGGGGGGGGGGGGGGGGGTTGGAATGTAATTGGATGATAACATTAAATATGCACACTTGGCTAGTGTTTAGCATGATATTCTGGAATTGCTGCTTTTATGAGTTTACCTTTGAGCATAAGTTGATTTGGTGGATATCAATAAGATTCATGCTACAAATTCTGTTTATATTCATCCTAGCCTTTTTTGAAGACATTGGCGAGCTATGTTAACAATGCTCCTTGTTGTCACCATCTTAGTAGTGAATGTCCGCTGCGGATTTTGTTTAGCTTGATTTTGATGGGCATTTAATGGGGACATGGCCAACTTTGATTTTGAGGGATTATATGTTTAGGCAATTTGAACCTGGTGATGCAATAGCTCAGGAGTGGGAGCCCTCCATAAAGCCGCCAAACTTGAATTGACAGTTTGATTATATGATATGCTATAGTTATAATGTCATCCTATGGACTAGAGATGAGGGTGGAGGTACTTGGAAACTATGACCATCCAATAGTGGTTGATGTTACAAGACTGTGAATTGTTATTGTTTCTGTGAGATTCTAGTTCTGCTAATTCAGTAGCCGACCTTCTAACTACGTGAAAACTGCCCTATGAATGTAATGCCACTTCTATGTTTAGTATAGAGCTCCTATTTGTTCCTGCTTACTTGAGGAATGTTCTTGCTCGTTTGTACTCTCGTTTTCTTATTCAATGTTGCTTCTCCTTGGAAAGAAATGTTTTTCTTTTGTCAGAGCAGTTCTTTTTTCATTACCTTCTGTTTTTCAATATCTTCTTTATAATACGCTGTTTGTTCCAAATTTGATAGGCTTTAACATTTAATTTTTTTTACTTATTAAGATTAATTTTTTAAATCTTCTTTCTCAATGTTCAAAATAAACATATCTCCTCTTTCTAGCAACAATTGAATTTATCAATTTCTGGAACTATGGTCCTTTGCTTTTTTTTTTTTTTTTTTTTCGTGATAAGTAAAAATCGATTAGAAAAGCGTTCAAAAGGGGAATGTGTCCCTAATACAAAAACGAAAGTGGAACCTAAGGACCAATAGGGTCCAAAAGATCAACTAATCATTAGTCGAGGAGCAATCGCTTCCTTTCACATAACAGAAAATAGAATGAAGAATATGCGTTTTCAATATTCTTCCTATGCTTTGAAAGTGCTTAACCTTTTTTGGTGGTTTATGTTTACACTCGTGTCAATGTTGTTATATCCATTAGCCTCTGGTCCATTTGATGCACATTTAGTATTCTTTTTACTTGCCTATTCTTGTCTTCAAGAATTTCCTAAACAATAGGTTCATGCATGCTTTTTATTACAGCTCAGTTGCCAGTTCATAGCATTAGTAGATCTGAGTTTATGTTTATTTACTTATTTTTTAATGAAGAAAACTTTGTCCTTTGTTCGATGATCTTGCAGAGTTTATAAACCTTATTTCATCGGAATCGAATGAAGTTTGTAACAGAGAAGAGAAGAGAACAATTGCACCAGAGCATGTACTCAAGGCTTTAGAGGTTTTTTTTATCCAATTTATATTTTTACAATTTCAATTTCAGTTCTTGTTCCTTGTATTATATGTGTTCCGTCCATATTACAGTTTCTAATAACCTTTCCTCATTTATATTGTATTTTAACATTATTATGATGCATAGCTAGGCATCTTTCTTAAGTGGAGACCACTTCTGAGGTTAGACCTGACACATGATTATGTAACTTGTCAAACCGTCTTATGGTTACCTAGCAGAGGTGCAAAAAAGAACTATCTTGCTATGTATCGAATCTTCTTGATACCATCACATGATGAATGGCCAACATCTAGGAATATAATGATAAAATATCCACGAGCGGAATATTGTCGATCCTTTCCTGTGGCTTTTTGAAATAAAATAAAATTGTACCTTTGGGGTTTTGAGGTTATCAACCACTTAGACTGAGGTAGCTGGTTCATTTAGTAGCATCCAGTGCAACACGCAGTTGGATTTCAGTGGATTGGTAATCTAGTATGTTACATTATTGAGCTTACATGATTTTTTAGAGTAATGATTCAACAATGGGCCCTAGACAAAGGCGTGAAGGCAAACAGGTTTCGTGTTCAGACCTCAAAAATAGTTAGATTATGGCTGTGTTGAGTTGAGTTGAGAGATAATTCAGCATCAATACAAATAAACGAGATTATAAGATTTGTATAATCCCATTATATAGAGACGTAGCAAATCAATAAAAATAGAATACCTTCACAAGCAGCCCTATTAATTATGGTTCCTTAACACCAAGTTGATACACAAAATTTGTATAATGTCTTCCTCTCCTCACAGTGCGCCCTTGGCTCCACTTTTATTTCCTAGAGAAACTAAATGCATCTGTATGATTAACGTTGTATGTCCATTTCTGGGTTTATATTATTCCTCAACTCTTCATTCATGCGTTGTTTGTTGTTCCTATGGGGACTCAGATCTTCCATCCACCTGAGACTTCCCCAATGCTGGGACAAGTAATGAGGGGTCACTTAGCATAAACTGTCACTTTATTTTTTTCCTGAATAACTGTCACTTTATTTTTTTCCTGAATAACTGTCACTTTCTTTTAGTATTGTCCAAGGGGAATTTAAGCTTACAAGCCAATTGAAGGAGCTTGGGCATGATGCGTGTTTACATTGTGCTGTAGACAATGTTAATGTGAGCTAAATCTTAATTCAAGCCAATGATCTTTTTTAGTGTTCTGGGAAGAAAAGCAAATTGTAGACATTCCTTGAGACGTTTGCGGCCAACAAAGTTTGTCAGCATATATATAGCCAGATACAAGAAACATTTGCATTGTGCTTAATTTTGATGTGCAGGATGAGTAGCAATAAATATAACCTCACCTCATTTTTAGAATATTACAATTTGCTTGTATTTTACTGCCTTGATGCTAAGAGCATATAAAATACTTGCCCTGACTTGTAAATGTGATTCTCTCAGGTTCTTGGTTTTGGGGAATACATTGAAGAGGTCTACGCTGCATACGAACAACACAAACTTGAGACTATGGTAATTATTCATTACATGCTTATCAACATTTTAATTCACACAAGACCCGTGTTATGACAACTGGGTTGAACTGGCCTACAAGACCATGTGACTGGAACCAGTCTTTTTTGGTCGATCTGATTCATCCGCCCTCTTATGTTACCCAATTGGCTGTTGTGAAACCAGTGAACAAGGGCAACTAGTAAACTTAATTTTAAACATTTATGTAATTTCAAACACACAGCATATACTGATATTCTTTGGAAATACCTTCCAACAGGACACCATAAGGGGTGGGAAGTTGAGCAATGTAGCTGAAATGACCGAGGAAGAAGCATTGGCTGAGCAGCAGAGGATGTTTGCAGAGGCACGTGCAAGAATGAATGGTACAGCCACGGTCCCCAAACAGTCGGACCCCGAACCGCGTTTGGATAGTTAAATTCAAGACCTTTACTCTCTAGTCTTTTGAACCGTATGCAAGCATTCTCTACTTCTGTGCTGCTTCCTCTTATTTCTGTACAAAAGCCCTTGCTAGTTACATGACATTTCTAGATTTGGATTTTTTTATACTGAAGTTTCTAGATTTGGATTTAGTTTGTACTCTTTGAATCATGTCTATATGTTTTACTGTAATTAGTGAGAGTTTGTCCAAATTTGCCTCTATTTCAGAAACCTTATGTCCAGTTATTATCTGTTAATTGGATTGGAAGGAAATGGTGGTGCACTTGTCACTGACTCACTGTTACTGAACTTGACGCTATTAGGTGGTGGTTGGGAGTTGGGACTGCTATATAATGTTGGGTCATAAATTTAATCAGTGGAGAATTCCAACTTTGCTTGATGCTTAGAGCAACTAATCAACCGGTCCCATGTAGGATGCTTGAAATGGGTGATTAGCCAAATAAATGATGTTTCCAAGACTAAGTTAATTTTGGCCATATAGTGGGTCCTAGTAAACCATGGGATTTCGGTTTTTAGGTAGGTGATCAGAATCTAGATACTCCTAACCCTATTTAACCTTGGTGCACGTCTTTGCTAGTAGGTGAAGTGTGTGGTCTTTCAAGTTTGAAGCCAATCTGGGAATTCTGGAACCCAACAGAGCCCTGGTGCAGGTTGGCAATAGAAGACGTGGGTGCAGAATGTTGTGTTGGAAACATGTCTAGGGTGAATAGTGATGGCTCTGGTTTTGTGTGACTTTTGTGACTTTTACCGTATTTGGATTCAAGTCAAAAAAGAGTCAGTCAAGCCCTTGCTTTCCCTCCCTACCCCACAAGAAAGTGAAATAACACATACGTTGTCTCCCTTAGATTCCTTTCTTTATTTCAAAACCTCTCTCTCTCTCTACCCTGATGTGTCTGTCCCTGTTCTTCATTCCTATTACAGTTTGGTGGGGTAGATAATGTTTCCTTTGTCAGGATTCTCTTTTACTAACAAAGGACTAGAAACAAAAGAATAGATGAAAACCCCAAAATCCAATTAAAAAAATCTAAAGAAGAAACCAGAATCTGTGTCTGTTTCTCTCTCTACCTATCCCACAATCTTTAAGGAGCTGCCTTCCCTTTGATTTGTTTTCTCATGTGAAGACAGTCATGGCAAAGAGCTTCTCCCAAGACGTCCCCAAGAGGCACTTCCACTGGACAAAGAAGGTTAGTAACGAAGATGAAGAAGTCCCAACCATCAAGTCGTCCTCAAACAACACTGAGGATGAAAAGAAAGAGGTTAATAAGGCCGCGGTGACAACAGAGCCGGCGGCTTCAACACCTCCCCCAAGGAAGAAGCTGCAAGCAATAGCAGTTTCAAGGCTGCGTTCGGTTCTCACTGCGTTTAACAAGAACCGTTCACACTTGCCACTGGGGCTTGGACCCAAAGTGGTGGGTACCCTCTTTGGAAACCGGCGTGGGCATGTACACTTTGCATTCCAAAGGGATCCGAACTCTCAACCGGCCTTCTTGATCGAACTAGCCACTCCGATAAGCGGATTGGTCCGGGAAATGGCGTCGGGGTTGGTTAGAATCGCTTTGGAGTGTGACAAGGAGAAGGAAGAAGAGAAGAAGGCAGTGAGACTGCTGGAAGAGCCTGTGTGGAGGACTTACTGCAATGGGAAGAAGTGTGGCTTTGCGATGAGGAGAGAATGTGGGCCGAAGGATTGGAAGGTTTTGAAGGCTGTGGAGCCAATTTCAATGGGTGCTGGGGTTTTGCCTGCTGGGAATGAAGAAGGAGATGGAAATGATGGTGAGATAATGTACATGAGGGCCAAGTTTGAAAGAGTGGTGGGGTCTAGAGATTCTGAGGCTTTTTATATGATGAACCCCGATAGCAATGGAGCTCCTGAGCTCAGTATTTACTTGCTTAGAGTCTAAGTTGCCATGGGAGTTCTGAATTACTCAGTTCCTCTTTCTTTTTTCCTTCAAGACTTCAGAACAGTGAACTAATGATACTTGTGTAACTCTTGAGCCAAGGACATGGAGGCATCTAAGTTCTCTCCAATGTTTTTCTTGTCTTCTTTTTTTTTTTTTTTTCCTTCTTTTTTTCTTTTCTATAGAAAATGGTAAACTGGGTTTAATGTATTTTTCTAGCTTTGGGATGGAATGGGAAATATATATATTTGTCTCACTATTACTACACACTTGAGCCAAGGACATGCAGGGATCTAGTTATCTCCATTTTTTTTTTTTCCGTCTTTTTTTCTTTTCTTGTTATTTTTTTTCCAATAGAAAATAGAAAATTGGGTTTAATGTATTTACCTAGCTTTGGGATGATGGAATGGGAAATATATATATTTGTCTCACTATTACAGGATTTTGTTTTCCTCTCAGTACAGTGCCATTCTACATGACCAATTTATGCAGTAAAATGCTAAACAAAATGTGAAAGAAATAATTCTAGTGTTCCATAATATTTTAAGGCATCATACAATAGATGTTATACCTCTAGAATTGTTTTGGTAATTGTCAGATGTATCTGACATGGGGAAACTGCATGTGTTTGGGGACCAGAAAAAAAAGAAAAGAAAAGAAAAGAAAAAAGAAAATGCAATGTAATGGTCCACATGACAATTTTATTCATTTGTTTGAATGGTGTTTTATTTGGAAAAATTATAATTAAAGAGCCTTAAACTAATGAGCAAGGAAAATCATTACTAAAGAGCTAATAATCTCATCTAGTAAATTGATGGAAATGAGTCACAAGGCATACACTTTAAGAGTTTCATGTGTTTGGATATGGTTCTTCGCATTGCCATTTTTCCTTGGATATGGTTTTGCTTCTAGACAAGCCGCAGCTTTTCTTGAATACTCTCTCTCTCTCTCTCTCTCTCTCACACACACACACACACACACAAATGTGAAACAGGTCCACTATGGATGGGTTCAATTTCTTTTATTTTCTTTCCTTTCCTTTCCTTTCCTTTCCTTTTCTTTTCTTTTGCTTTTCTTTTCTTTAATATTTTAAAAGCATAGGTGGGTTTTCCTTTTGCAACTAGGTTAGTAATGCACTCAATACAATTTTGGCATTTGATCCAAAGATATTAGATGTTCCTTCCAATCATTGAATTTGATGAATATTTTTTGTGTTCAGTGATCAAGAAACATAAGAATCCCCAATTTATTTATTATTAAAGACTAGTTATAGAACTCCACAAAAGCATATCAGAGGAAATTTCTAGGACCTGACAAATCAGGCAGCAGCATATTATGCTTTTCATATTCATATTGGGGATTGCCATTCCCCACTTGCAGTTCATATAACTTTGATTGAACCCTCCATCTTTGCATTCTTTTGGAAGAAAGAAACAGTGGCCTCAATGATTTTGAATCCCCTATAAAGCAGACTTCAAGATATATATATATATATAAAAGCACCGACACATAAAATTATAACTATCAAGAAATGTTTATTAGACTAATTTGAATAGAATGATCTATTTATTTATGATGTGAACGCTTTCATAGCTCATCATGATTTGTTTCCGTTGTTTTTGGGAGTCCGGTTTCGAACATTCACACCTCTAATTTCTAATTTTAAAACCTTTTCTCTTTCAATATCGACTCTATTAAAGTTACGACATAATTTCTTTGGATTAAAAATCATGAGCGATATTTGCACTCTCCTTATAACCAAATGCACTTCACTCATAAAGAGAAATGATTTAAATGTACTTGTAAATAGAAAAATTAAATATTAAGGGAGTATGTTTGTCATTTATATTAAAGAAAAAGACAAGAAAAGGGGTGGATTTGTTAATATTAAAAAAGGAATTGCATGATGTTTTTCTTCACCAAAATGTTAGGTTTGTGACTAGTCTATCCCAAAATTATGTACTCTATTTTTTTATCAAGTTGAAATTTGTTGATTTGGCATGAGCTGGTTAGAAAGTGATGTAGTCTTTCAGGTACAAAAATGCACTACCGAATTGAGAGACAATTCAAAACATAGATTATACTGATGAATTGTGAAACAGAGACTTCAATTCACTATTAGAAAAACCAAAAAACAAATACAAAATTCTAAGGGTAATTGCTCTTGATATGACTGATTTTCAACTTTGGTCATCTTTAAAAAGAAAAGATGGTCCATGTGAAACTCTCTTATATCTCCTCCTTGTTTCAAGGCTTTCATATAGTGTATTCTTTTGCTTAATCACACACACACACACACACACACACACACACAAAGTAAAGAATGGATGGGGCCATTTTCAGAGGGTGTGGTGTGGATTACAGCAGAGGACAAAAAGATTTTTGAGATCACCTTTGCGGAAATCGAGGTTTTTTTGATCATCTAGTCATTATTATTCAAAGATTCAAAAGTAGTTTGGTGTAAGTAAAGTTTAGACCCTTGCTTTATACTATAATTGTTGTAATCAATACAGGCCCAAGCTAAAAAATTGTTTAGTCATTGATGCAATATTGTTCAAAGAGTGACTTTATTATAAGAAAGTCACAATTATTGTTCCCCAATCAGTTGAATAAGTTGACCATCGTTGTAATATTCATACAACATCCCATATGTATATATAATATTATTATTTCAAATAGCTTGATTTTGTTTTTGTTTTGTTTTGTTTTGTTTTTTTTTTAAAGCGAGATTTTAGTATTTCGGTAATATTGGAGATGTGTATACATTTGCTTGAACTTTCGAAACAGATTTTTACGATATGCACCATTTTATTTAAAGATAATATAAGATATTAGATATTACAATCATAACAATAGTACTATCGGTGAATTTACTTGGTTTTTCGCAAAAGAGAGTCAAAATAAGGAAGAAGATGGAACTATAAGAAGGTTAGAAGACTCTTTGATATGAGACCTAGAACTGGGTGGATTGGAGGGGGAGTTCTAACTTTTGTTTTTATTTTGCAAGAAACCACTCTCAAACTCAACTTTGTATTTTCACTCGTCGTTAGTCTAAACTTTTACTACTGTGTCAAAACTTTATTAATACCCCTTTCAACCCAAAATTCCATAAATGCACCAAGCAATGTCTTTTTTTTTTTTTTCTTTCCTTTTAATGGTGTATTTAAATGTATTTTTTTATTAAAGCTTTTACTTTGATGCTATACTGAAAAAGTTAAGAGCCATGTGGAAAATAAGAAAGAAGACTACTGAAGGAAGTTAATTGGAAGGTGTCAAAAATTTCAAACAGTGGTGGAGCCAGGATAATTCTTTAGAAGAGGCAACATATAAAAAATTGATTCATTCAATTCTAGGTAAAAAAAAAAAATGTAAAGCTATAATGTATTTTTGACGACTGTTAATTAAAATGAAGTGGTAACAACAATGTTCAAATGAGCATATTAAGCATGACAGTAGTAGTCAAAGTTTTTTTGAGCATATTAAGTATAACGGATGTAGTCACACTTTATTTATTTATTTATTTGCAGATACACAAAGCATGTCATGGGTATGAAACTTAGCAACATAATAAAATAGCTCAGTGACTATTGGTAGATTGGAGATGTATAAATCTGAAATAATAAATTTTTTTTTGTGAAATGATTTGCATATACAATTTCTTGTTATTTCTATCAATTTCTTGTTATTTCTATATAATTGATGGTTAAAACTTTAGTGATGTATGGGAGGAGACTGGGAAAGAAAAAAGATGCACATTCCTATATAGGTGCCAAATTTTTTTTTTATATAAAAAATTAAGGAAATATGGAGTAATTAAAGAGTGAAGTAAAACAAGATTATTCTTTGAACTATTCCTTCCCTTTTAGAATTTATACATCTTCAATATTCAGTTTACTTGGCTAAATTTGAATACCATGCTACAATCATTAAATTGGTTTCATTTTTTTTTTATTCTCTCGAGGCTGAGAAGTTGTTTGTTGGCAATATGTATAAAAGAAAATTTGTGGCTAGATAATTTTCAGTAAAAAATAGTTGCTAATGCAAATTAAGGATGTGACTACTTAAAAAAATATGTAAAAGATTGCATTGTGAGTTACAAATTTGGTAAACATAACAAACCTCCACGGAAAATTTAAGGCACAATGAGGGGATGGTATATATTCCAACTCAACGTGAGAGTCCAGCCAGCATGAAGATACAATAGGTTTTGTGCACTAGTTATGAAAACTAGTGTTTCAAGTGTGAATCTGCAACTAGTTTATAGTTGGGTGCCTATGTGTATCACGTGAATATCTTAGTGTAAAGGTTGCATGCAAAGTTTTTATTTAACATAACCTCTTTACCGATTCCTTACTGTATTCTTAATATTTAATGTGGTTAATGATTGGATAGAAACGGTTAATTACTGTATTCTTAATATTTAATGTGGTTAATGATTGGATAGAAACGGTTAATAGACGGTAAGAATGCATTGAATTACAATACACGCCTGAATGGGCATGTTTGGTTGAAAATCCAAGTATGGACCTCATGCATTGCATGATTATCCTATTTATCTTCACAAAATATCAAGAAACTGCAAAAATAATAGCTCCTGGATACAAAGACTTCACAGTTGAATTTCGTAAGATTACAGTATTACTCGTTTCTTACATAGCACTATCATCAACAGTAAAAGACATCACCATGAGATCCCCCTTAATCGAAGGTATGGCAAGTGCTGCTCACACTTGACAGCTTGATTTTTTTCCAGTGCACCAAGCAACAACACCTTGTACTATCATTTACAGTAGTTTATCGAATTCTAGCATGTCATAGACTCGTAACATTGTTAAAATTCACAAAGAGCTATGCATATTACCTGAGAAACTTGCATTCACTTTCGCACAGATGTACTAAGTGCATCTTGACTTGTTTCCGTGAAGCAAAAAAACATTAAAGTAGAAGGTCGAGGGTTCAAGTCTCCATAAGGGCAAAAGTGAATGTGTGAGTGCCGTGTCTAAAAATCAAACAACAACACGAAAGAAGAGTAAAACAATTGTTCAGGGAATTATTTCCAAATTTACAATGCTGAAAAATATGATATTCTTGAAGGTGGTTTATTTTTTTGCATGTTAACAAAGGATATTTTCTTAGGATGTTAACAAAGGATATTGTAGATTGCATAAGAAGAAATTGAAAACTCATTGTGCAACCTCCCCCAACCCACACACAAAGCAACATTACTGGTTTAAAGCATTAAATTTCACAAGAATAAAAAACAGCTCAAAAGAGAGGGTTAATATACAATGCAAGGAGTATTCCTTTTCACCGAGAGCAAAATTTTTTATTAGTTTCCCTTAAGGCATTCATGAAGAAAACTACAACCCAATACATTTAAAGAGAGGGGAAATACACCTTCATCATTCCCCATCCCCACCCACCCTCCTCCAAACTGATAAAATTTCTTTTTTCGCAATAGAAGTTTCAATTGAATCAATTGCAAACTGTACGGAAAAAGAAACGCATTGATGAAGAAAACCACAACTCAATATATTTGAAGAGAGAGAGGAAATACACCTTCATGATCATCCTTCCCCATCCCCACCACCCTCCAAAAAACTCATAAAATTTCTTTTTTCACGTTAGAAGTTTCAAATAAGTCAATTGCAAACTGTATGGAAAAAGAAAGTTATCAAATGAAATAAAGTATTTTTTTTTCCCACTGATGTGTGCTTAATCACCCCAATAGTTGGAAATAAGACATTTTCAGAATCAGCTCATAGATATGTGTTAGTGACCTAAATTGAAAAAATCAACATATAAAAGAATAACATAAGAAGCATTACAATCTCCCCCCCTTTCATTATGGGCTTTTGTTGATCACTAGCACAGGGGCAGTTAAAACAGGAATACCACTAACCAAGTTATAGCCCTTTCTTTACTGTCAAGCACCAGTTCGACAAGTGGGAATATTACAAAGAAGAAGAAGAATAAATGAGTGTCATCTTTTCACCTTCTTCAATCACTTCTGAGTTGATTGCTGCTCATCTTTCTCCCATTCCCCTCTTTTACTGCGAGGTTCGGGTTTTTGACGAGCAAAACCTGGCTGCGTGATGTAATTAGAGGAAAGTGGTCAGAACATTAACATAAACCAGAAACATGTCTAATACACGCATGCACACACCCACAAACATATATATATATGCATGCATGAATATCATGAATCTTTTGAACCAGCCTTTCAATCTTGAAAAACTGGAGGGAAAGTAGGCATGAGATAGAATATTACTTTACCTGAAGAAGCATGGAGGGAGCTGCTACAGGTTCAGAAGTGACATGGCTTCTAGTTTTTCTTCCATTTAGTGTTGCAGCTGATGGGCTATTCGCAGTTGTTATGTCCCAAAAACTGCGTTTCTTAGCTGTTGGTGCTGGAGACTGAAACCGATGACTCGGGCTCTTTAACTCACCTTCAATTTTATCCTTTGGCCGCACTCTCGCCCTTGTGACGACCCCCTTTAGCCCCACCCCCCACACTCCTGCTAGTTTTGCACCTTCTCGAGAAAGTTCACGAATAAAATCATCCTTCTGTTTTATTTTCAATGCATGATCCTTCTTCATTCTCTCAACTTCTGCCTCTAATGCTTTTACAGTATGGCGAAGCTCCTTAACTGTCTCCTCTGCTACCTTCTTTTTTGATTCAGGTGTAAAACAATTCCCAGCCAAGAAAGTGGATCTGGGCTTTCGTTTTTCACTTGGTTGGGCAGAAGATTGAGGAGGTGTTGATAGAGGGTTCACAGAAGGGGTTTGTGAGGAGTTTGCTGCCAAGGATTGTGCTTGAACAGTTAGTAGCTTCTGTTGCTGGCGTGCCAATTGTACTCGCAATTCACGATTCTCTTTCTGCAGCTCAAGTAATAACTTGGCCTGATCTGTTTCAGATTGAGGTAATTGCAATACTTCTTCATTTGCATCACATGCCTGCAATTGTGTAAGAGAAGAAAGGAAATTATATTACTTTATAGTAGTTCAGGAATTGCTGGTACTGGATTATGCGAAACTAGCCTTGTATGTTAATAGAATGAGTTTCACTGTAGAAAGGAAAAGACAAAGCATGCTGCACGAGAGAATGCTTCTTTTCTCACAAGAAGGGATAAGAAATAAATGTGATTCTCCATATTTCTGAATTATATGTGAGAATATCATGGTAACAAGGTCAAGTACTATTCATAACTTTTTTGAAACATTGACTGTTATGTCGCAACTATAGTGGAGAAGAAGAAGGTCTAAGAGTGAGAAGCCTAGAAGATGAACCTTTTTCCGGATTTCCTTAGCTCGATCAGCCCAATGAAGGGTGTTTTGGGTCTCACCAAATGAGAGATTGCTTGGGCTGATATTGGCAATCATTACTGTGTTACAAGCTCCCCCTAGAGAGTCCTTGAGCAGTTGAGTGAGCTTGGAATTGCGGAATGGAATGTGTTTCTTGCCCTCAACTAGGGCATTAATGCAGCTGCTCAGTGCAAGGAGTGACTTATTAATGTTGGCACCCTCAAGCGATCTCAATGTTCTCTGATCAGTGGCCAGAGCTCTTTCAGAACCAGCAAGGTCTACAAGTGAAAGCTTTCCCATTCGATTAACAACATTATTTGAAGCATCTCGAACTCGATATTCAACCACAACCTACACAGTATTAACAAATACAAATTTAGATTGAGATTAATTAAAATATTAATAACTTGGAAAATCTTTGCAACTACCTGCAGAATAGCGTGGGAGCGTGAAGAAGTTTCATTAACACGAGTTGGTTCAGTTGTTCGATTCTGGTTTCCTTGTTGAAGTAATGCCATCACCTGTCATGAATCAAACAAAACCAGAAAGTAATCTCTCTACTCAAGCAATCTAACTGTAATGTTTCCTGCATCATGAAGGGCGGTAGGAAATTACCTCATCTGTAGAACAAGCTCTGTATTGAGTAAGACCTGCTGCCACGATCCCCTGAAGTATTTGAATATTTTTTTCTGAGTTTACAAAAAATTTAAATACCAGAACAAGAGAAAAATGATAAAGAATGGTCTTAACGCTTACATAACACAAATTATAAATTACTTCTTGGTTTAGGAGAAATTTACTTCTATACATATATTAGACATATATACAGGAATAAAATAAAGTGGTGTTCTATAGATTCAGTCTCCAAAAGCTCTGTATGTTTTTGGGGAAAAATTGATGGCCAATTGGAAATATTTTAATTGTGAAACCATCAAGGCGAAAAGAAAGAGTCTGGTTACCGATAAAAACATATATGCTGATTTAAGTTATTCTCTCCAAGTTGCTCGAACAGATGAAAGATAACTTTGTTCCAATTTGATAATATATTAATAAAATCATGGATACTTTGCCAATGCTATGAAAATTATCATAATTGAAACTAATATGTTGTAGCTACCAAAACCCCATGAAAGTAAGATTCATGGAAATGGATTTGCTAGCAACAATAGCATAATGTACCTTAAGGGAATATTTTGTCTTAACATATCAAACATGATATGGATCATGTGTATTACTATTTGACACGTATAGTATTTTTTTATAAGAAATACTATTATGCAAATATTGAAGCAAACCTGCTTATCTTCTCTAAGGACAAGAGGCCTTCCGGGGGAAAGCAAATCCCTGACCGTTTCATTGTAGACCTCAAGATATGATAGATGAACCGCATGGTTTCCATCACAGCTCCTATGCCTAATCTTGCTGAAAAGATCTTTTATTGCCAAACCCATCACCCCCGGATTCTCCACCGTGCCCAACATAGTGTATGTTTTCCCTGCTCCTGTGGCACCATAGCAGAATACTGAACCATTCCTCCCTTGCAGAACTGCTTCCACAAGCTCCGCGGTTCTGTAAGTCCATATACACCTCTAGTTCTGTTAAATTCTTCCTTGATAACCAAGTAATGCACTATCCACTACTTCTACATAAAAAAAAAACTAAAATTTTTGGGAAACATATAGAATTCAAATCGCAGAATTTATGTTGGAGTTCTTCTATACAACAACTTTTAGCATCAAGTTATGTTGCAAGATGTGACATTCTTTTAAGGGAATAAAGCCAAGTAAAACTGTAATAAATAAAGGGCTAGCCTTAAGCCATTACAACTTTTCTTAGTAATCACTCATTAAGCATGGAATATCTCCCAACTTCTAGGGAAAACACTGTATGACAGTAGCAGAGATTCTTAATAGGTGGGTTATGCTGAATTCCCAAACTAGAATATTAGCACTAATTTTGTATTGGAGGATCTGATTATTTTCAGTGGGAGACGAAAGGTTAACACCAAATATAGAAGTGTAACAAAGAAATGGTCTTTTAAATTTCATTTTCCCTATTGGCCATCCATTCCACAAATATACATATAACTTGGGAGATCATGAAAGCATTATATATATAAAACATAGAACCAATGGGCAAAAGGGCAGTTTTGTTACTATAACAAAATCAAAGAGATCACTTTTAAATCTTTTATTTTTTTTGGATGGATCTTAGCTTGTAGAAAGTTAGAACAAATTGAAAAAAATAAAATAAAACTTAGAACTTTTCAAACTCACGTGGTGGAATAAACCTCTCTTTGAGTAGTGCAATCAGGAAATGAGGCATCGAAGGTGAAATGCCTCCCTCGAACCCTCTTCAGCCGAAGATAATCAGTCTCTGTCACGAATTCCGTCAGATATATCTCTCTCCGGTTGACAATTCGCACACAACACCTCGATCCAGCTTCTTTCTCCTTCTTGGACATAGGCCGAAGCCTCACAAATACAAGAATTCTACTACCAATTGTGTCCGTTTTCTCCGAAATGGTTTCCAATTCTTGCACATTCTTAGCCCCTACAAACCCTGTTGGCTCTGTTTTTGAGCTCCCCATTGAGAGCTTCCTCGCCACAGTAGCCAAAGCCACCGGCTTTCTTGGGCACGAAAACCCCACAATCCGATCACCACCGCCCACTGCCACGTTCTCCTTCGCATCATCAACTGGCGGCTTAGGCAATACATAAGTTCTTGTCACTGTAGAGTTGGGCATTGTGTTCTCTCTCATGACATGACTCTCTTTTGATTCACTTGGGTTCTTTTCTTCTCTCTTGCCTGAGCTGAGAAGGTCGACGCTTGGATGAGTTGAACATCGGGGCTCCTCGGGCCGAAAAGGCGGGTTCTTGAGAGCATTAGAGGCTTGTTTTTGCTGCTCATACAAGAGGGTCAACGCCTTCATCTTCTCTTTCAAGCCATGGTGTGGGTTTCTAAGTGGAAGACCCATGTGGGTCTCTTCTTGATCTGTTCGCATTCTGGTTCTATAGCCTTGATTGGACTCATTTTGTTCTGGATTTGGGTTGATCTGAGACCTAGTTGACACAGGCATTCTATTGAAACCACACTACCCAAACATGCCCTTGTGGTTTTCTTGCCGACCCACTTGCTGACACTGTTTTTATTGCAGGAAAGTTCAAAAATTTTCCCGGAAAATACAAGAGTGTCGCTGGAAAATCAATGGAAAGCGCAGTGACAGTATAGTAGAAGAAGCTAAAACAGAACCTGGAACAAACTGGGGAAATGAGATGAGAGGGAAAAGATCAAGATCGTGTCTGATTTGGGGAAATTTTCGAGGGAAATCTGAACCGTTCATTCTGTGGAGATGGACGGTTATCAGTAAACCAGGGGAGGCAAACTTTTGAAGGGTAATTGTATGAGCGCTACAGTTTTTGCTTTTTGTACTCCATCTACAGTGTACTTGAAATTGTCTATTTGTCTTAAAGTGAACTGCTGATAGGAAAAGTTGGAGTGCTAATAGTTACCTCCTTTTTGAATATTTCAAATGCTATTTATAACGGTCATATTTGTCAGATCCCGAACGGTCCGTTATCACCATGGGTCGTTGGGTCCAATTCAAAATGTTTCCAAGTACTCCATGAGAAATCCTCTGATAGTAGTAAAAAAATGAAAATAAAATTGCATTGTAGAGAGGAAAAAACATACTGTATATAAATTTGGTGGATTTGAAGATAAATAGCATTTATAGGGTGGATTTGAGGTTGCCATCGTCACCTTCCTTAATTAATCTCATATATATATATATATATATAAATGTGAATTTGAAATAGGTTGTCCAATAACATCCATTTAAATGCATGGTCCTTAAAGGAAAAATCAATATTTGATATTTTGTATCAATGATCAAGTGAACTCATTATTCAAATCAAGAACTTCACACCTGTCAATGCAAGGAAAACTTTATTTTTTATTTTCTATAAATTGATATAAACGGAAAAGAAAAATAAAATTACGAGGAAAACAACTTACAAATGTATAAATTTATGCCATTTTCTTTTCCTTGTTTTTTCCTCTCAATCTTCAATTATTTTTGAGAAATCATTTTTTTTTTTTTTTTTTTCAGAGTGAATGTGTGGTGGGTGGGATAAATCACTTTTCTTTTTATCCTTTCCTTTCAATTTCTCTCAACAAATTGGCAAAGCAAACAGTATCTAATGAATTGGTCACAAATCAAATGGTTTTTGGTACCCATCAGAAGATGTGGTCAACCAAATCCAAAGGCCCAGATCATTAATCTTGTTTGATCACATGGTGCATGATGAAAAATATATGCTTTATGTACAAATATTACCTTTCACTTTTTCTTCTCAAAAGAAGAACCAAACCTAAACTATCAACACTTCATTTGCCTATGTAAAAAACCTTATTAAGTTTCCTAACTTCAAAGTCAAACAATTACTACAATAGATAGCATGATTCCATTGAGCAATATCAATTTAGTATACCCAACCCCAGGATCAAACCAACCACATTGTGACAAGAACAAGAATCATATTCATCCAATTATCCTAGTTTAATTATATGTGTGTGTGTGTGTGTGTGTGTGTGTGTGTGTGTGTTTGTGTGTAGATACATAACCGGGTATATTATGATATATATAGAGAGAATGGGACATGGTATCCATGTTTGTCATCATTATCGATTGTTTTTATATAGGAAAATGCTTGGGAGGCCATCAAAGCTACCAAATTATGACCCTTCATGCACGCTTCAAGAATCAAATGTACTCATCATATTCCCAACATTTTCCCATTCTTTTTGGCTTTTATGTACAATTTACCATCCCATAATGAGATTGATTAGTGGTTAACATGACCAGCATTATATATTTGCGAGTGGCGGAGGACGCGATTTATGATTTTTTTTTTAAGTTTACTTTAGTTAAAGATTGTTGGTTGATTGAATATGTAAGATATAAAAAAACAAGATCCATATTTTTTTGTATCTAGCTAATAAATAGTGTTCGGTCAAGAATTTCAGTTGAAATTTGAAATCCTTAGCCAGGGTAGCACTGCGTATAAATTAGTACCACGGATCCTCTGCTGTGCTCTGGCGCGCTTTATGGGTTTAATTAATAATGAAATCAAATGAGAAAAAATAGAAAGTAGTACTGTTGTTTAGGGAAATAAAATGTGAATACAAATTACAATGTCCTAGAAACATAAACGGCCTGAGGCCCAAGAGGGCAAGACAGAGCCCAAAAGAGGGACCCAAACAAAGGCAACTCAACACAAAACGGCCCAGCCCCGCCAACAGCAAAGCACACAACAGATGGAATTGATGAAAGGAGAAAAATAAATTTGTAACCACCTTCGGTGTTTTACTTTTTTGGACCATAAACTTTTCCGGAGCTCATCTATCTTAGTATTACTTCAGAGTAAGCACCTTTGTTTGAATTACAATTAGTTCTTATGATATGAAAGCATGGAGGACTAATTGTTAGAGGGATATGGGGGTTCAATAAGAATACGGATAATTAGATAATTCAAGATAATTTGTGAAAAATGACTTGTGGAATTTTTTTTGATAAATCATTTTCAGTCATTTGGGGATAAAATTATTTACATAAAAAATAATTTTCTAACTTTGGAGTCTCTCAAACACTGAAAAATGAAAAAAATAATTTACGAAAAATATTTTAAGTCAAGTAAAAGAGGCTGAGTGTGCATTTGAAAGAGTAAGAGAGTTTAATTGAGGGAATGGGAAGGGAAAGAAAAATGAGGGTGGTCATCAATGAGAAGGGAAAAAATGAAAAATGAAAAATGAAAGAAAAATGAGGCATGACAGGTTTAGGAGTGAAACCTTAACATAAGGCGTAGGAGTTCAGAACCAAGACCGCTATGGACAAATGGTCTAGCTCAGAAGCAATCTTATAATCAATCCCATAATTTTATCGATCCAATTTCAAACAATTTGACAAATCATGTTCTGTCTATAATCAGACACAGCAATTTAGTTTCATCCATATACAAAAAATTGATCAAACTTTGCAACCTAAACTATGGCTAAAAATTATCACAATGGTGAATCATAAAAAAACATAATTAATTGCATCTCATGGATAGTAAAAATCAAATTTAAAGAGGAAAAAGAAAAAGAAAATTAATTAACAATTAACAATTTAGAACTACCAATATTGCACCAGAATTAGATGAAAAGAGTCCCAAAGAAGGACATGGTTAACGGCACAATAGTTGGAGTAGGAGTAGACATTGCACTAGCCATTTGGGTTGCACCACAGTCACCACCAAAACGGGGTCCTTCTTTTGTATGTGTGTGTAACTGTGTATATATATACACACACATACGCATCCAATGGATGGATAAGAAAAACTCATAAATACACAAGGGTATGTGTGTATGTATTCACACACGCTCACGAAGTACACAAAAAGGATCTCATAAGGACTCATGAAGTTATCCTAGATTCAATAACAAATCAACTGTAATGTATGTGTGTGTTGTATACGCCCAAAAATGGATTATGAAAAATCGAATAACCAACTTAGGGAAAAGAAAAAAATTCTAATAACCATAAAATTGAACAAGATATCAACTACGGGGTATGCGTTAAAATTTCATGTTCCAACACTCCATAGATTTGGAATTGGAGTTGATGGAATTAAAAAATAATAATAATTTTAATTTTTTGTAATTTTGAACTAAACTTTTCTCCAATTTTTTCAATGTCAAAAATGTAATTCCATGCAGCCAAGAATGGTCATAGTTCAAATGATTAGCTAGTTTCACAAATAACATTAGAGACGTTTTAGAAAGTGGATGCAAGATCAATTACTTACGGATAACGTCATTGACATTGAAATGGTTTTTGGAGGGTCATTCATTGTAAAGTGCGTGTATATAAATAGTGCAAAAAAATTTCTGTTATATACAAAATGTGCAAATATTTTGGTGTTAAAAAAATTCTCAATATTTTTCCAAATAAAATTGAACAAATTAATAAGAAAATTTCTTCAAAAATAAATTTTCATTGGCAAGAAAATTACTTACCCACTTTGTCTCTAAGGAAACTCGAATTCTCACCATTCCTTTTGGAAGGTAGAGAAGGTATCAGTAAGTTACACAACCTTTGGTAGGATAATTCTTCAATTTGAAGACCAAAATACCTACAATGTTATAAAATAAAAATTAAAAATATAAAAAGTTAAGGTTAGGGGGCTGCGGGTAAGATTTAGTTTGTGGTAGCAAGAATTAAAATTGTTCAATTTGACTGAATTCTACGCAACTATGGTTCGAAATCTTCGATTTGGAGAAAATTTGAGAATCGAGTGATTTGGACCTATTTTTAAGGCAGGGGTATGTATAATAACCCTAATCACCAATAATTATAGGGGTAAGTGCAGAAAACACCCATCAAGTATATTTTCAGTAGCACTTTTACCCCCTATTTGAAAAGGTGTGCAATAAACACTCCTAATCTTTTGAAATTGTGCAAAATTACCTCTTTGTGCAACAAACACCCCTAAATTATTATTGTAATACCTATTTTGCCCTTTTAGTCTTCCAAAAATGCCCAAGGGGATAAATATGTTACTAATCTCATACTATAGGGGTGTTATGCGCACATTACCTTATATATATATTTTTAATAACTTTTTTCACTATATATTACTTCCCTTTAGCATTTCTCGGCACTGTATCTCTTTATATTTCTCTCTTTTACATAGAATCTTCAACCTCAAAAAGCCATTCTCTTTGTTGTTAAGTTAGAAGTCCTTTGAAGATTTGAAATTCGGATAGAATGTTTTATCATTGTGCAAGAATGTGTTGTGGTTTGTTTGACATTTTTTACTTTGGCTTCTTAATCTGTATCATATAGCGAAGAGAATCTGTGTTATTTTGAATAAATATTTGTCATCACTAAACTTTCAACTATAGTAATGCATTCACCTAACCTGTCATTCATCAAACCATTCAATATATGCAAACCCAATTTCATATTCAACAAATTTACTACTTTCAGTAAAATAAAAACCCAGTAATACAAGTGAATACTTTACTGACAAGCAATCAAGCATTCACTAAACATTACATCTAAAGTATCCAATGTACCTTCAAAAAGTAAAGCCGTGATACATCAACCATTATCCTAAACAAAACCCAGTTTAAAATTTCGCAAAGCCACTTTCACCTTCAACAAAGGTAACAAAATTAAATGGCCTATCGAAGTCATCCTGTTCAAAAAGTAATACCAGTTTCAGCAACTTTAAGCCATATCATACACAAAAGTTATGTTATGAGACACCAAATTCCATGAATAGTCTTGGGT